AATCAATAAATTTGCCAAAATGAAAAAAAAAAATTGGAATTTGTTATTTGACTTATTTGTTTTTAAAAAAATAATTAATAGTTACTATTATTACTATGATTATTTGTTGTTTTTTTTATACAGGATTCAGACTGAAGATACAATTTTAATATAAGAACTATTTGTGTTGTTATTATTAATACTTATTTTATATGCAGTAGGTTTTAAATATATTTATTACATAAATATTAAATTCAATTTGGTACTTATATTTTTATTTATTCACTTGAATGATTAACAGGAACAGGAGCTGTAGGTAATGAACTAGAGCCATACCCAGGAATTTTTTAGGGGGTCCAACATTTTTTTTATCTGTTCTCTAATTATAATTATAATTTAATTCTATACCAAAAAATTACTGTTAATTACTATAGGTTTACTATAAGAGGTAGGTACCATAATTTGAAATCAATTTTTATTTGGTAGTAAAATGTTATAAAAAATTACATTATTTAATTAACAATATTAAATAATATTAAAAAAACAGTATAAATTAAACATGATTTATACATTATAGGTATATTTTATAATCTATAAATTTTGTGTATTGAAAATAATGGGAAATTAAAATCAGGTACGGATCCAGAGTAAAGATCTGGGAGGGGGCCTTTACAATTTTTTTCATAGGTATTTTATTCATAATTTAAAAATTCTGTCATAATAGTAGGTAGATATAGAACATAAAACACATTTTCCAAATCTATCAATTATTTGGTCAATGTTTATTTTAACTTCCCTATGAACACATAGTAAACACAAAGAAGTAAGGCGATCCTCCTGCATTCTAGAGCATAGCCAGGTTTTTACCCGTTTTAGAGTAGAAAAACTTCGTTCTTCAGTAGCGCTACACTCATTGGTAATGTACAAACTATACTTAGAAGCTGGTATACTGTAGGAAATATATTTGGATCACATTTATTTAAGGCGTTTATTACTGTTGATGGAAATTGATCTTCAATAGTAATATCACTATGTGTAGAATTATAAAAAAAATTGAGAAATAAAATGTCTGGGGGGGGGCTGTGCCCCTGGATCCGTCCCTGATTAAAATACACTATATACTATTTACCATTGAGTATGTAGAAATTTAAATGTGGGGTTCGGACCCCCCCTGGGTACGTCCCTCTACTGAACTGTAAATTATTTTTAAGTTTGTATTGAAGAAAAATTAGTTTCGCCCCTCCCCTCCCACCAATGGCCTCAACACAAATATGCTCTTGCTTCAAGTCAACTTATGCAATTACTTTAATATTATCTTGTGATTATTATAATTACAATTTGTTTATCTGATAACTACAATGATTGAAAGATTATTGTTTTTATGGAAATTATATTCTGTTTAATTTGTATTTAGTAACTGTTTAAATCCTATATTTCTAAAAAACAAAATCGTTATGATGTAAAAAATTATATAATTTAATTATAAAGTTGTTAAGTTATAAGTATTAATTTCCTAATTATTGAAGCAATGCCGACTTTTTCATTTTTCGAACATCATTTTAAAAAAAGGATCTGATTAATAAACTTCAAATTCTTAATTTAATTTCACAATTTTTTAGATTTTAAATAGAAACAAACAATAAAGTAAATATATTTTTAAGAAAATTTATAATGAAATATAAGACATGAAAATAAATAACTTTCATTAGGTAGGTACATATAATTATTAATAATTATACTTTTCTAATACTAATTTTATTCAGTATGACTAATATTTTGTTCAAAATCATTCAGAAGATATTTTTTTCTGTGTACTTATTTTCTTATTAACCTAATCATAAAAGTGTCTAAAAAAAAGTATAGAATAAATCTAGTGGACAACATGTATAATAAAAAGTGACATGTTTTTGTGAGTAGTTTTGATATATAACAAGGATTTTTACCTTTTAAGGTACTCGGTTACATACAGTGATACTTCTGTATAGAAACACGTTAGTATTTATGTTATACATTATTTATATTTTATATATTTATAATGCCATGATATTAATATATAATATACATTTTCATTATATTGATAGATTTTATGTTTATTTTCATAAGGAAAAAAAGTTTTAGCATTGTCTTTTGGATTTTAAAATTAACCTGTTCTTCTTTTTTGCTTGTTTATTTATTCGGCGTTCTATAGTTGTCTGTTTGATTGAATGAATACTATTTTTATTGTTTAAAAAATATTTCTTTTGCTCTACACGACAATAGTTTATTATGGAATAACGTGGCAAACAATGGTAAATAGCCGTGCCCTACATTCCTTTCCTTTCTAACTTTTATAACTATGCATAGATATAACGTTTTTTTTACCATTAGGATCTTCATTATGGATACAGTAGGTACCTAATTGAGGAGTTTTTAAAAACATATAACTATTTTTGTTTTCGTCTGATTTTCAATAATTGATCTTGTCGGAAAACATCTGTTTTGAGGCGCAAATGAAGAACATAAATAGACATATTCGGATGTATACCCTTAAATAAATGGGTAACCAAGGGATACATTTAAGATTTAATAGTTCTTCTACATAATAATTGTATTTTTAAAGAATATGCTGTTAAAAAAAAAATATAATAACGTCGCAAAAACTGTTAAAAGAAAGAAATAAAGACTATGAAGTCGACTGGTTTCAAGACCTATTTACCTTACAAGGAAATGATTTTTAATATACGGAATATTATTTCAATGACGAACAGTTTCATATTTCTAATAAGGCAATGAATTCAAAACTGAATAGTGTTAACAGTGTTGTATTTAAAAATAAACTTGGAATATAGATGTAATTTAGTTGAGCCATTTTTATAGTAGCAATATAATATTACAATTTATGTTTCTTACTAATCACAAAGAAAAGTTAAATTAAAATTAATTTTAATCTACTTAGTTTATAAAAACTTCTGAGTTAATTAAAATATTTACACGTAGTCTTAACATATGATAAAAAGAATTCTAATTATTGTAGGGCCAAATCGGATGTGTTCTTTCAGGTTAATGCCCCAATTTAAAGCCAGGTGCACCGATCCATGTCATCAATTAACTAGCTAGCTATAATTTTCAATTACCATGTTAGGACATAGTTCTGTTTGGCTGATCACCAATTACCACTATAACTTATGGATTTAGTTGCTATTTATGAATTTATGATGAATTATTGTATTTACTGTATAGTTATAAATTATTAATTAAAATTCGTGTGAGTCTATAATAAGACCATCATAATATCATAATATAGTTATCAATAAATAGATACCTAATACAAACAAAAATAATAATAATAATAATAATGAAATAGGATAATATATATATATATATATAATTATGTAAGGGTGAAATATGTAAAATATACATAAAAAATAAATTATAATTTTTTGTAATAAAATAACTTATCGTACGACTATTATTGTACAACAATTTAAAAGCTTATTTAAACGTAAAAATATATAGGTATCCATACATGCATCGACGCAATGCTCACAAATATTATTATATTATTGAATCTTGCAATATATGCAGATAATATGTTAAATGATTTGAACAATCTTGAAAAATAATTATGTAGTTTATTATAAATTGATTTTTGCGTTGATAATAAAGAAAATGTTTTCATTTTTTCATCTAAATTATCATATTTATTACAGTAATTCCTTAAATTTAAATTTGTTAAGTACGCACTATACAATTTAATTTTGCATTTAAATAATTTAACCTATTAGTTCTTTACCTATAATATTTAGGTATCTTGAATCTATATTTCCTTTAAATTTAAGTTGTTCTATAATAGGTCAAGATCAATCGATCATTTGATAAACAAATTATTAAAAAATGTTGTAATCAATATAGGTAGTAATCCTTAAAGTGTTGAATATACGAGTATTTATTTAATATTTAGGAATATCATGGAAACGTATTATTTATTAAATTTTATGAGTATTATTTTAGGTAATGGTCATGTGCATGAACATTTTAAAGGATAGGCAGTAGGCTATCAACGTTTTCTACCCTTCAAAGTGTATGTTCAATCTGTAGGGTCCCAGACGTACCAGTGGTTACCAAATTTCCGCTATCTGATACCCAGACACACCCTATTTTTAATAATGTTACTTTAGAAATAAAAAATATTGTTCATTTAATTAGTATTTTATAATCATATCACATAATCGTGTATATAACCTATGAATATTATTTAAAAAAAGTTTAGTACTAAAGTATAAAATGAATAAATATGACATGGTATTTTTTTATATTTTAAATTTAAATATTGAGTTAGACTGTTGATTGTTGACAGTTAGCTACAAATAATATAAATTTAAAACTACCGTTTTTTTCATTGTTGTTAACCGAATAATAAATATTAAGAATCTGGATTAGAAAAAATGTATTTTTGTCAATTTTGAAAAGCAACACGCTTTTTCTTTTACAAATATTTTTTTATAGAGCTTAATTCTCAAAAATAATTTATTGTTTATTTTTTAGTTATATAACAGCTTTCTATATAGTTAATATGTGTATGGTTTTGGTAGATTTTTATATAAGATTATGGATATACTATTTATAGCAGTTTGCTACCCCCTGCGTAATCGATAAGTCTCAGCATCTCCCCAATGTTTCATGCATTATGTATAGACAAATGTGTATAGAATAAATAAATCTCGACATTCGAGGTGAAAATTCCTAATGTTTTATATATTTATTGCTATGTACATCATTAATATAAATAATAATATTTTATAAAAACTAAGTATTTTTATAAGAATAAATGTTAAAATTTAACACATTTAATGTATTACAATGTTAAATCACTACTTGATTTAATCGTTATGTACACTCTAGAGATATGACTCATTATTCTATGAATTATGAATCGCCCTTTTGAAACTAAATATGAAAACTAAATAACCATATTCCATAAACATTTGAATAGTATATTTATACTATTATTATAATTTAATATAATTAATTTTTATTTTTAGACATGAGTTCTCCATTGTTGAAAGATCTACCTAAGGTAGCGTTTGATCTTAAAAGTCAACTTGAAGGATTCAATCCCGATAATATGAAAAAGGCCGATACTAATGAAAAAATAATTCTTCCTACCGCTGAAGGTAATATAAATACAACAAATTGTAGTAATTAATCTTTAATTATTTGTGACGCTTAATTATCAGTTTAGTGTGCATGTGTAAATTGTTAAATCGTTAAAAAGTATGTTTAAAGTTTAAACACTTTTATTGAAATATATCGTAGAATTCATCTCATTAAATTAGGTGTTAAGTGAATCGCAAATTGCTTGATATTTTTTCTCCATTTTTGTCGGAAATAATAGTTTTACTTATTATACAATTTTTGTTTTTAAAATTATGAAATACTTATCAAGGTTTAAACTAATTTCAATAAAAGTGACTAAAACATATAAATAGAAAGTATAATTATTTGAATTTCTTAAATTTCATAGTATAAAATGACTAAGGAGTATAATTTATTCATACATTTTTTCAATATTGTAATTTATTTATAATTTTCAAGATACTTATCAATTATTTATAACTGTATATTAATATATTGAATTTTATTTATTTATATATTTTAAAATATTTTTTTTAAAGCATAGTATTAACTTAATGTATTTTTTCAAATAGCTATTACCTATATTATAAATATTCTGCCTGCCATACTTTTCAATATAAATGAAAGCAAGTTGCTTATTTGTGTGTAAATTTCAATTGTGTGAATTTTTCACGCTTTTAGCTGGTATTTGTTTATGAGTATATTAAAATGCTTGCTATTGCTTTTTTTTTTTTTGGATTAAAATAAAGACGTCCAACGCGAACGTCAACATAATGATCTCATCCAAGGCGTCAATAATTTTAGTGCGGACAAGCTAAAAAGAACAGACACTCTGGAAAAAGTGATCTTGCCCAATGCTCAAGGTGAGTGTGCTCATGCTAAACATTATATTTTGTGTTTAACTTTGCCTGAAGAAAGCATGAGGTATACTTGATATTTTTTTTTTAAATTATTAATATTTATTTTTATTACTTATTTAATCAATATAATAATAATAATAATAATAACAAAAAAAAAAAAAAAAACGAATTTAGAATTTAATATAATATTAATTTTTTATCTGTAGATGTAGCTGCAGAAAAGACCCAAAATGCAATCACTGAAGCATTAATTGAAGGTGTGGGAGGATTTGACACTGGCAAACTTAAACATACTGAAACTCTAGAAAAGAACCCTCTCCCTGATAAGACTGGTGAGAATTTACTTTAAATATTTGACTTACAATATAAATTATTTTTACATTTAAAAATGTCAAATTTATCATCAGATATTTATTTAAACAAATATTATGCTTTCTTTATTTTTTTAAATATCGGAACCCTGGATTTATCAAGACTGGTTTTAAATTAATCACTCTAGGTTTTTCTATTTTTATTTTTCATACTTAAATTATTTATTATAGTTTCTTAATAATATAATATATTGTCCTCTTTTTCAGTGATTGAAGCTGAAAAAGAACAACAGCAATTAATTGCTGGTATTGAGAACTTTGACACTAAAAAATTGAAGCCTACTGTAACTGAAGAAAAAAACCCATTACCTACTAAAGAAGGTAAATAGAAATAACAGACTATGTATACTACGTATATAATATCAATGATTATAATAAAAATTTTATTTTATTAAAATAAACTAATTATTAAATATTATACATTGTATATTTACAATTTTACAAAAATACTAACTAGATACTTATATGATATTTTAAAAATAAATATACTAAGGCTTCTTCCTCATATATTTAATTATTAATTTTATAAAGAATCTAATAAAAAAAATCCACTTTTAAAATTTCTGAGATTTAAATTATAATAAAGATTAAAAACTTTATACTGTAGGTATGCATATATTTGGTGTTAAATGTATATTAATTGTTATGAAAATAAATATTAGTGTTTCTAAATTATTTATTAATTGGTACAAAAGAGAACTAGGTGACCTGACTAAATAAAAAAAACTTGGGTATGAATTTAGCATTTAAATGTAAGTATATTTTTATGTAAATTACTGATCCTTATTTTTGATTTATCATAATCAATAGATAATTTATCAGTTATAAGTTATCTGTTTAAACTATATAGTGAGTCAATATTTATTGTTTTATAATTAATTTTCCAATTAAATTAATATAATTTTGTATACCGATATAAATAAATAAAAAATTATATTAATTAGTCATCTGTTATAACTTATTTTATAACTTTATATACAGTTAATTATTTTTAATAATGGTTTTTTTTTTTTAGTCATAGCAGAAGAGAAAAAAGCCTAAGTATCAACATTCCAAATGGTTCAACCTCAATGGAATGGATTAAACTATTATATTAAATTATACTCTTGCATATATATCACCTTTTGAGTTGGTAAAATTTGTATGGTAATGTAGAGATTTTTGTAAGCATATTTTATAAAAAAATTATAAATGAAATCTCAAAACCAATTCGGTCATGATATCGTTTAATTACATGTAACAATGTTTTTTTTATGTAATATGACATGGAATTCAAATGTAATTTTTACTTTTTTCAAACTTTTTATTTAACCCTAGAACCATATGCATTTTTTATAACATCAGTACATTTTAACATATTGTATTTTAAGTATTAAAAATAAATGTATTTTTTTTCGTAGCACTTTTGTATTAAATTATAACATATAATATTTTTATAGAAACAAATCTATGAAACATATTTTATAAACCATTTATGGGAAAACATACAATGTTTTCTGAATTTCAAATATTGTAATCTATTGTATCAGGCACATATGATTATTAATAAAAAATAACGTTTTTAACTAAATTATTTGTTAGATTTTTAAATTGTGTACCATTGAAAATAATAGTTGGATAAACGTTCACAGATTTTTAAATCATCAACCACAATTAACTATATATTTATATACATGCATTAAGCAAGCAATTACTTTGAAATAATTTATGGTTGCAGTTTAGATTAAGTATGTATTAATATAGGTTAATATATTATTTATTTTATGTGGTAATATAGAATAAATATTTAAAAAAATAATGTTAAGCTAAAACATGTGACTAAAACAGTAACCTAAATTATTTTATTTTATTTACTTATTGATTATTTTTATATATATATATATATATAAATCCTGCAAAAAAAATCTAAAAATTAAAGTGTTATATTACAAAAAACGTAAAAAGGTGCTTATTTTTTTTTTAACCATATATTTGAATTCATGGTTACTGCAAAATGATCTGAGGGGCGATTGCTCCTATCTTTCTCTCACCCATATATTACGTGTCTGTGTGTTATTTATGTATCATAAAATTAATGTAGATTATTTCATGAGAAAAACAACTATAAACTTGGAATCATCTATGTCAACGCTATTACTTTTTTTAAAAAAAGGATTAGTTCAAATTGTATTTTACTTAATTTAGTGATTTTAAAATGTAGACATTTATCTATAGCTGGCATCATAGAAAATATAAAAATATAATTTTACCACTAGTTTTATTACTAAAACATTATACAACTAAAATTAAATATATCTTTTTAAAGTTATGCATTTTTATATATTCGTCAAAATTAAGCATACTAAAATTTTTATTTTTTTTTGGTCTTTTTTTTATTTGGTTCTCTTAATTGTTCTGGGTTCTTATTATTATTTAAAGTTAAAAATGTATGATATATGAATAATTATGGCTCAAAGACAATTTATGACTTGAATTTAAATAAATTTCTGACATAATTGCTGAAAATAACATAAATGTAATCTTGTATTTTTTAATTTAAATATTTTATAGTTTCAATTAATTAGCATATAATTAACATATTTACAATATTTAATTATGGTTAAATTAGTAAAAAAAACATAAAACTTGGATTATTTATCAATCAGACATATACAATGGCGCTTTAGAAGATGGGGTCGAGGGGGCTAGTGACCCTCCGGATATAACCTAACCTAACCTGATTAAAAACCACCAACTATGATTATATATAAATATATATATATAATCATAGTTCGTGTTAAAAACTAACTAAACATAGTTTTATTTTAAAATAGACAACATTTCTCAGTATAAATTTTTTGAAAAATTATTAATGGTATAAAATCAATTGTTTATTTATTCATTTATATGCTGGAAAACGAAACGGGAATTGAAAATGTATTTACACTTAGGAGCTTAGATCATATATATAAATACATGATCTAAGCTTTGGAGATTGGCCTTTGGTTTTTTTATTCTTATCATGTTCACTGTTATCAATTGTTATCAAAAATCGGGAGAACTGCTCGTCCCGTGGTGGTCGGCAGACCTGTTGTACGATCGCCGCTCGCCATGACGCGTCATTTAATAAAAATGTCTCTTAACATTTTTAATATTTGTAAAACATATTGGAAAAAAGTCCCAATTTTTTGGACAGTTGGTGATCCTACATCCGCCCTACAGTTCGCGCACGTACAATCTACCGCGCAATGATGTTGCATTCATGGATATATAAAATATCTTTTTCCGTCAATATTTTTTTGGATCAATCTTTTCATTTCAATTTAAGTCGATTCATTCCCAAGAATAGCCCATCTAGTGTACGGAAACGTGGTGGCTAGATAAATATAAATAATTTCACCAAAACGATCAGCGAGTTCCCGCTAACGAGTCGGCCCGATCTGGTGATTCGTGGACCATCGTTAATGGACAAAATGGTCGGTCAGCGTAATTACCGTGCACTATTGGCGACACTGTGCGATGTACGTTGCCGTTATACACGCGTTACCGCCATGACCGATTGTTGCGGACGTCCAAGCGGTACGGTACACGGTTTATTATCACAGCGCCGTTGGTAATTGTGCGTCGTTACGTATTTCTCCTCTGCTCGTCGACCAACCGTTTTTATTCCCGCCACCGTCAAGCATTCCCGTTGCCCTACTCAACGCATGTCCCCGTACGTTTCGTTTTCGTTAATCTTTTTCTAAGGTTTTCGTCTTCTACCGTCTAGGCTTTGTCCACCGCAAAGGTCGTTCTGTTTGCATTTATTTTTTGAATTTTTTTTTCTTACAGGCGCCCACGTTTGTAAATTCATATTCTACATCGTTTGAGTTTTGACCAATCGCGACGACGACGACGACGACGACAAACAGGACGGCGGTGGCGGCAAATACCATTATCGATACTGTCGACGGCTGATCCGTGACACGGCCGAAAGACAATTGCAATTTTACTTCTAACCGGATCATTGCCATGTCTAACAATCGCCGTAGCCGACAAAGAAATGAACAGGATGTTTCCACCCATAAAGGTACGCGCATTCGAAATTCGTTTTCCCCCGTTAGTGCTTCTTTGCCAACAAATTTTTTTCGTTGCGTCATGTTTTTCCACCTCTGCGCTATTATATGATTCACGAGAACTGTGTACATTCTTTTCATTAATTTAGCTCTTAAATCCGGTTTCGGTTCTTTGATCCTTGTTGTGAACTCAGCTGGTCGCTGTTTATGATCATATCGCCAAATAGTTGTTTATAGTTGTTTGGTTTGTCTTCAATTTTGAACCGAAGGTTAATGTAGAAATGTAGTATACGGTTCCTTAACTTACGGTTAAATTACAATAACTCTGATATTTATCAAAGTCCTTGTATATGAAATGAAAAATTAATTTTTAACATTTGCCAGTCAAAATTAAAATTGTGTAGGGTGGAGTCCTTGGCCACCTTAAGAATTTTTTTCTATTGATATTTAATTTATTCTATCTACAGTCATTAAAAAAATTGAAAATTTAACCATACATAGCTATGGAATGAGATCAAATAAAAAAAAAGATGAAAATAATGGAGTGCAGTAGAACAAACCTACCCAGCTAGACTTAAAAATTGATAACACACATAGAACAAGTACAACAATTCATATACTTGGGAAGTAAAATAACAGAAGATAGCCTCAGCAAAGCTGACATTCTCTGCAGAATAGTACATGCGAAGAAGGCTTTTCAAAATAAAAAACACTTGTTGACCACTAATAGTGTGTCCTTACAGACAAGAAAAAAACTCTTAAAAAATATACGTGTGGAGTATTGCCCTATATGGGTGTGAAATTTGGAACAATTAGTAAAGTAGAGAGAAACAATCTTGTGGCCTTCGAAATGTGGTGTTATCGAAAAATTTTAAAGATTAAATGGGCTGAAAGGGTGACAAATGAAGCAGTACTAACTAGAGTCAAGGAAAAATGACAATTGTGGTATAGTATTAAGGTTAGAAGAGACAAAATGATAGGGTACACACTGCGCCATGATAGTTTAACGAGGAATGTTATAGAAGGTTATATTGGAAGAGGAAGACCAAGGATGGAATATATGAAACAAATCATGATTGACATGGGAAAGGATAACTACAAGGAACTAAAGGAATTAAGTTACAATAGGGAAGCATGGAGAATTGCAGCAAACCGGTCAAACGACTGAAGACACAAAGAAGAAGAACCATTCATACTTCATAAGTCCACAAACACTTGGCTTGAATTTAAAAGTCTTAAGACTATTTTTGAATGAGAAATTTGTATTCATTTTTTAAATTGCATTTTCCCCTTCTATGGTTACCGTAAAAATATTTTTTATTTTATTTAAACATGAATTATTAATACTTATGTAACTGTGATAAATAATGCAATTTAATAATGAAATTGTTAAATGCAAACAAATATGACAAGGAACTTTAATTTTCTAAAAACAAATTCTATAAACATAAACAAATTAGGTAGTTACCTATGAAAATAAAAACAAATAAGTATCTATCTAACCACTTGGTAAATAATATAAATAAAACTCTGATCTGGTTATAAATATAAAAATAATATAAACAACTTTTTAACAACATAAAAGAAATATTAACACTTGGTAATTTTTATAATATAATAAAATAACATAACAAACTTAAAAAAAAACTATTAACTAAAAAATTGAATGATAACAATTTTAAACTAGGATATTATATCCCTTTCACGACAGCCTTAATTTTTGTTTTAATGTTTTAATATGTTTTACAACTAGCACACACAATTGTGTATATAAATCTATACTATCTTTAGTCCTGCCTGATTAATTGATTTTAGTAATTGGTATTAACGAACCTACACTAATGTGTGGTTGGTTTCTTAAAATTGTATGATTTTATATTCGTTTTTAATTAGACACACGCTAACCTACACAAATGTTTATGTTAGTCGTGAAAGGGATAATAGGAATATATTGCATTATTGCATATTATAGGAACATAATGTTGTCTTCAGTTTTACTTAAATTTTTCGTACACATCAACAACACCAGGGAAATCAAAAAGATATTGTCTGTTCTTAAAACGTAACTGACAATGGCAATTTGTAACTGAATCATCTAAAATTTAGATGCTAAATCTAAAACAGATATATCACCTTTAACTAATGCAAATTCGGTATTTTCTTCATCAGAGGCTTCAAAGTATTGTACCTCTACTTCAGTTTTAGAAATTACCTTAACAACTGTTGCCACATATTTATAACAGTTTTTTTTTCCTACAGGCTTAAATTTGATCAGTACGTAGTCACCAGATTTAAGGTCTTGTTGCAAATTGCTTATTTTGGGAAGTAGGTCTTTACATATTGGCTGTGTTAAAATTTCATCATCACTGAAATCAACTTTAGAATCCCAGCTCATTTTTGACTGTTTTCTGTGTCTGATTTGATAACTTTAAGTTTCATTTTTTGGCTTTAATTTCTGCCTTCTCAATTTTTTTTATTTTGGCTTATTTTCTTCTTTCCAGTGTTGCTAGTTTTCTTTCCTCTTTTTGTTTTTTTTCTCTAATTTTTCACAAGCTTTTAAATCATGAAACTCAATCAACTTTTTAGAAGTAATTACACTTGGAGTGTACTCCTTTTTTGGCTTGATTTTGATTACTATTGTTCTGGCCGCTTAATAACATCATTAAATACTGTTGCTAATGATCTTTTCGCTGGACATGTTAGTATATTTGGTGGCTCTCTACTAAATGATGGTGTCTCTTCTGCTTTGCTGGTTAATGGTATACTCAACTACATTTCTGAGTTTAAAGTGTCATTTCTATATTCTAATGTTGATGCTGTTGATACTTGTGAAAACACTGCAGCAGTATTATCAGTTAGACTTATTTTCTTGTTTATTTATGTCATTTATGTTTTCAAAAAATGATGACCATAAAGTGCTTTTACTTTTCCATCCCATTCATACTTTCCTCTGTATGTTCTTTTGAATTTTGTTACAAGATCAACATCAAATTTATTTATGTTATTTTCAATAAATGTTAGGTGTGATTTTATATCACCAATATTTTTTGTAGTTTCGTGTATTGGATTAGTTCTTACAATGATTTTATTGTAATCAACACTATCATCAGCATTAAAAGGATATAAACTAATTACATGAAAGCCAGACTGAATATTCTTTTCCATTCCAGCATCATTTATTATTTGTGATAAGGCTTGAGGTATATCTGATTTTGTGATTTCTTTTTCATTATCGAGTCGCCACTGTTTTACTATTCTTTTCCATCTACCTTTAAGAGGGCCAAATATAGCAATCTCTAGAGGTTGTAGTATATGTGTGGAGTTGGAATTTAATGAAATCAGTATTAATCCATGTTCTTGACAAAATTTACTCAGATGTAAGCTCAAATGAGATTTGTGGCTATCTAAAAAAACAATAACTGGTCTTTTAATATTAGCTTCATTTAGAAATGGTAGAAATATGTTTGTTATGTATTCAAAGAATGTTTCCCCTGTCATCCAACCTGTTTCTGATTCTCCAATGCCCCAACCAGGTGGTTCAATTTTGACAAGAGCTGCTGGAATTCTCTCACATTTAAATATTGTAAGGATAGGGGCCCATTTACCTATTGCATTTGTACCAAATAAAGTTGTGACATTTTCTTTGTCTGAGTTGGTATGCTCATCATATACATTTTGCCTACGTGCTCCAATTATTGGTTTCATTAAACTGAATCAGTTTCCCTTTAGGTGCTAAGTTGAAGCATGTTATTCATATTGTTATCCATATTAAAAATTTGATTTGAATCTTCTAAAATACCAGCATCTTCACCTAATAGTTCATAAATTTCTTTGAACCAGTTTTTAATTTTGGTTTCAGTGACTGATCCCCTACCTCAGTTCACATACTCTGAATGTTTTTGAGAAAATATTTTATGCTTGTTTAAGAAACCATAAAACCACTTTTTTCCTGGACGATTGTATGTAATAGATGTTTTAATATTTGCCTCATCCACAAGTTTTTTTTACTGATGATAGGACCTTCACGACCTACTGGAAAACCCATCTTTGCATAAAAAAAAATTCACTGAACCAACATTGTTTCCATTTCTTCACCTAAAACTGAAATTGTTCCACTATGGCCAATTGAGAGTTCTGGTGATTTTCCACTACACTTATTCCTCAGCGTTGTCCTAGGAACATAGTACATCTAACTAGCTTTACTTGTACTCATCCCTATATAGAAATGTATCATTAAGTAACTTAACTATTCAATAAGTTATATTGTTTGAGGTATATCAAAAATATTTACCATCAATAATAGCCTTTAATGCTAATTTTACTTTTGAAGGTGAATATAAAAACCTTTTTGGAATGGTGTTTACGGATTTTTTTTTAGTTGGTGTCATTTTAACAACCTAAATAAACAACTAAATTATTTCATTGTGATTTGGAACACTATTTATCATGATTTAAGATAGTAATAATATAATATAATATAATCGTGCTATTTATTAAAAAAAGTTATTATATGGCCACTACCATGGGCATTGATGGGTTTTTAAAGAAATTGAGTTTCCTCAATGGCCATCTATATTTTTGTACAGCAATTTTGTACCTAATTAAAATTAACTAAATATATTAATTTTATTGAATTTAACTTACTTGATGGTACAGGAACAAATATATAGTGATGATTCCAACACAAAATTCCCAATGCTCACATATTTTAAATTCTTAAAGATTTTGATAAGAAATACATGAAAAAGTGATAACGAAAATATTGGAAAATATTTTTACAGTATTTTCAACTGTTTTTGTAATAATTGTAATTACCCAGTTAATAAATTGATGTAGATGAATACAACAATAACCATAGCTATAATCAAACTATAAAATTAAACTATTTACAAATAAAAAAAAAATTATTGGCCATAGGTGGCGACTGCACCCTACGTGCCAGAAAATTCTTTATGTCGTAAGAAATCTCACTCCACTTATCCTGCTGTTTACACATGACTGAATTTATTACACTGTATATCATCATAATTGTAGTGATGGTCAAAGGATCATACATTTCATCTACATTATGAAGAAACATCACGTGTCGATATTTGTCTGGCTATTAAAGCGAGCAAATTTTACTGTGGTATTATATTTTTCGAAAATATTAAATCCATTGAATATTATTGTTTTTTGGCCATTGGTTGTATTGTCTTAATTATATTGTTAGTTACAGTAAAATAATGTATCTAATTATTTAGTAGCAATTAAACTTCTGAGTATTCCTATTTTATTTTGTGATATATGTATTTAATGCTTTACTATTATTTATGTGTAAGCATTTTAATAGTTTGTTTTCGATCGTACAAGCTTTCTAGTAACTTAGTATTTTTCAATCAACTCACCTTTTTTCACTGTATCCTACAGTTGCTCACTTTTACCACTTATTTAGTATAATCTAGAAAAAAATTATAATCCCCTATATTTTATTTTAATCTGTGGTACTATATATAGTGAATACAAAAATATATCTTTTAAATAATTGTCTTTACATACCATAAATATATAAGTAATTTAGAGGAAAAATAACGTTCAGCCAAAAGAAAAGAAATTGAAAAAAAAATAATTATTAAAAGAACAGCTTGATAACTCAGAAAAAGATTAAATTAATAGAAGAAAAGTACAAATAAGCAAAGAAAAATTAATTTTCCTAGAAGAATGTTGCTGAAAAAAATGATTGAAGAATGCTGTAAAGAAAAAAAAAAAAGAGTTCAATAAACTACAGATAATAAAGGCAAAATTAGAAGGAGCTCATCTTTACAAAAATAACAAATTCAAGAAAGAAGGCAGAATTTGTTATTTTATACTTATTAATAGAGCTTGGAAGAAGTTGATGCATTTTGCATTTTTTTTTTTTTTTTTGAAACTAGATAATTATCTCCAGGCCACAAATATTTTTCATTAGCATGTGAATCCGAATAACTAATTTTTTTTTAATTTCTTGGTGTTTATTAATTTTGAAGTCATTTTCCCACATTTTAGCCATTTTAACTGTTTTCACACTAGTTTACTTCTTATCGATGATTGTTGACCATTATGCCGATAACTTAAGACTTGTCAGATTTTATCTCGTCAATTACAGTCGCCGCGTCATTGTTATAGTGATTTATTATTTTTCTGTAATATTTTTGAAATAGTGGTTAGTGCTCGTCTGCATCTTCCAATCACTTTAGTGGACATGGATAGAAGTTTTTCTAATTATTTAAATTTATAAACAGATAGTCATCGTTTAATTTTTTCTTTTGATAACATCAAATACGCTCTAATTGTACAACACAATGATTTTGATTTTTGAGTAATTTGTAAGCTTTGATAAATTTATATTTTATATAGAATGTTATAGTAAAGCAGAGTAAAATATTTAACAAAAATGTATTTTTATTATATTTAAAACAAATATTTGTCATTTTTGCATATTTTTCTAGGTCATTTTTTAATGTTTTTAAGGTCATCGATTTCCGATCATTACTTATGAATAAGATGTAACTCACTATGTTAAAATAACTTACTATTTTTAAAAACTGTAGCTGCTAGAAATCCTGATCTGCTAACATATTTCATATGTTCAATTGATTTTGTGATAATATTCTATTAATGTTGAAATAATTGATGTATATATATATATATATATATATATATAGGGATTGTTTCAGATTTTTTTGCTGTAATGTTATGACAAAGGCAAAAAAAAAGTTTCAGATTGTTTTTCTTAAATATCTTTCATTGAATAATTTTATATTCTTCAATGTACTGCATTTCTTTAAATGATACAATTTAATTTTTACTTTTACTATTTCATACACCTTTAATTTGATAAGTTAAAGATTTGTTCAAATGTTATACTCTATTATAGTTACAATTTCATAATACCAGTGTTTACTTTTTTAGGTGTTGCCAATAATGAATATGAAATTGAAAACATTTTATTTGATGAAACATTTGGAAACAAAAAGATGTATCTTGTCAAATGGAAATATTATCCCATGGACCAATGTACTTGGGAGCCTTATCGTAATTTAACTAATTGTCAAGAACTACTGACCGCTTACAGAGCCAACAAAATAGTGTCTTCGGACATTTATAAAACTGATGCATATACTAAGTTATATAGCGAACTTAATGATTTTGCTGATCAAGAGCTACTTGAGTCATTGCACCATGTAGTTGACGAAGGTATTCCTATCATAGAAAAGCACTTTATTTTAGGTACTATTGCTTATTTGTCAACATTAGCTCCAAACAATAGAAGTCAAGAATTAGTTAATCTTATTAGACATAATTTGTTGCTCATTGAGGTTAAGCGAAAAAGACGAAGGCAGATGGAAAAATTAGAAAGATGGCAAAAAAGTATGCAATCGATTTCTGGATTAAATATATCTGTCGTTAACAATGTTGACTATGAAGGACCACCAAAAAAATTTATTTATGTTAATGAATGTGTTGCTGGAACCGGAGTAGTTATCCCAAATGATCCACCCATTTGGTACGTAAAATTATAACTAAAAAAACATTGAAAAATGTATTAATTTTTTTTTTATATAGGTGCCATTGTAAGGAACATTGTGGAAAAAACCGTGACCGTAAAAACTGTCACATAAGTGATTTCCAACTACCTTACAACAAGTATAAACGATTAGTAGTTCCTCGTGGCACTCCAATTTATGAGTGCAATAGAAAATGTAAATGTGATAGTAGTTGTTCTAATAGAGTGATTCAACTAGGTCCGCAGAGCAGTTTAAAACTTCAAATTTTTCGTACTGACAATAATCGTGGGTGGGGTGTAAAAACACTGGTACCTATTAAACAAGGAACATATGTTACTAAATATACTGGTGAAGTTATAACACGACAGGAAGCTGATTCAAGAGCTATAACTCATGGATCAAAATCAACATATTTGTTTGATCTTGATTATAATACAGAGAAAAATGATTGTGTGTATTCTGTAGATGCTACTATGTTTGGCAATGTATCACATTTTATCAATCATTCATGTGATGCTAATTTGACCATATATGCTGCGTGGATCGACTGTTTGGATCCAGACATTCCAACACTTGCTTTATTTGCATCAAGAAACATTGAAATCGGAGAAGAAATAACGTTCAACTATATGACTTCAGTAACAAATGGTAGCCGCAGAATTAGATGTAAATGTCAATCTGATAATTGCCAAGGTTACTTATGTTAGCAAAAATGGCCTAATTTATTATTAAGGATTTTATGAGTTAACATTTTATTGTTAACCATAATTATTTTATATTATAATTTATAGTTATTATTTATAAATACTTCATTGTAAGCTATTAATATGTGCAAAGAAAATTACCTTTATTTTAATTGGTATGTATGAGGGTTTTCAATGTTATGAGGTATAAACAATTTTTTTCTGTAATTATATAATTAAAAATATATTCTAAAATTAAGTTTGAATAATGTTTAATAGTAGGTACAAGGTAGAAGAAATCAGCTACTAACTAGTATGAAACTCAATAATTTATTATCTAAATTTATAATCAATGATGGAGTTTCATAAATACTTTTTACATTTATGAATTTTGTTTTTATATTTTTACTAATACCTAACCTGACTATTTAAATATTAATATTAAACAATAAAAAAAAAATGATTTAACTTTAAATTATTAAATGGTTTATACTTCAAAACCAGTTGCATTTCATGTATATAATACTCCTGACTTAGCTTTTATTCATTTATTTCTATATTATTAACATTAATTATACAATATAAGACAAATATAAATGAATTTTGTATGTATGTATTGTGCAAATTTAATTTCACTTTTGTATATTAAAATTTTCAAATGTAATATCTGTGCTTGAGTTATATTAAGTAACTTGATTTAGAATAAGCATATTTTATTATGAATGTGTCCTGTTCAATTTATCAGCAGTAGTAATCTTTTAAAATTTAACCTGTTTTTTTTTTTTAGTTTAGCATTTACACACTTTCCTAATTTTATTTATATATATATATATTTTTTCAAATTTTTTATGATTATAGGAATACTTGGTCCCATTGAGAACATTAGTAATACCATATTTTTTATTTTAATTATTTTAATAGTTTTATAATTGTAATTTCGATGCTATTTCTATGGTATCTGAAACTAAGGTAATAAGAAATATAAATTAATTTATTTTATGTTTTATATTCTTATAATAATAAAGCATTATTTGGATACATAATTAATGTTCAATATTTCTAGGGTTATCAATATAAAATACATTGAGTGATAAAGAGATGGGTTAATTGTATTGCAGTTTGGTCTTTAAAATTTGAAACATGTGCCTTTGCTTTTGAACAATTCAGAGTGAGAGGTCAAGTCGGGTAGGTGGATCAGAGTATATTATTAAAGATGGTTGATATAGTAAAATAAAAATTTCTTAAAATTGAACTTCTAATGTTTTTACTTGAAAAAACAAGTATCAAAAATTTCAATTTTCTTTAAACGGCACAATTGTTATTAAATATGAAATCTTACCAAATAACTAATTTTGTAAATTGTTTAAGTATTAGATTTTGTCAAAATTACTTTTTGTAACATTTATAAATTATTTTTGCTGCATTTCAGTAATTATTAAATTATTATTAAGTATTTATTAAATTAAGTGATTAAAGTGTTAAAATAATAGCGTAAACTATATATTAATTTTTGCAGGTTTTTCGGTTATGAAAGAATATTAAAATGCATGTTAGTTTTATTTAATTTTTTTATTTAAGTGGTACCGCATTATAGTTCGGTGTTTTTATACACCATTAGACAATCCGCCATTGAAACTATCAAAATTCCTACCCGACGCCTTATCAATATAATCATAACAATATATACTTTTCAATATAATTAATATTACTATAAACTTAGAGCTTCACCACTATATGTATCTGGTTATTTTCAATGTATTTAGATATTTTTACTATTAATTACTTTTGAAATTAAATCGCAGTTTATTAGTGTGCATGTGTTACATGTGTTTTAGGATAACTAAAATAACTGATATCCTAAAACACATTAATAAACTGCAATTTAATTTAAAAAGTAATTAATAGTAAAAATATCTAAATACATTGAAAATAACCAGATACATATAGTGGTGAAGCTCTAAGTTTATAGTAATATTGATTATATTGAACATTATAAGTATATTTTTATAACTAAAATAACTGATATTTTATAGCGGTGTATAGCAGCAAAAGAAGTATTTTAGGTATATTTTGTAAAAATAAAAAATATAAAATGTCAAAATTAATATTAAAAAAATATATAATATTACAGTGAGGCGCTGGATTGAATAAATCAACAGAAAATGTATAGGGGATCTGTTCACACTCATATATACGCTGCTGAAACATTAAAATTAAATATGCTGGTTACTATAGTTGGTAGTTAATAGTTAGTTACATACGTTCATAGACCTTATACTAGTAATAAGGTCTATGCATACATTAAATATTTAATTATTTTTCAAATATTCTGATCTACAGTAGTTATTACTGGAGTTACGGTTGCCATACGTCCCGGAAAACCGGGATTGTCACCGGTTTTGGACTTCGTGTCCCGGTGTTTCGAAAAATGTTTTCGGGACGTCCATATGTTCCGGCTTAGACGCTTAGAGGAAATGTAGTATTGTTTAATTTCTAATTTCGACTATTTTATCTCAAAGTACATTTTTAATCGTATTCGTAATCGATTAACAATATATAATAATTTACACATATAATATAAATTATATTTTATTTTATACATTTTTTTTTAAATATTATATTGCCGGCTATTAATGGTCCTTTTCAGTGGTGTATACGTAACTTTAAATGGGGGGATGATTTGCATACAAATCATTATTTTTTTTTTTTACGTTTCTAACACCCTCACTCTAAGCACATAATTTTATAACAATTAAAAAAAGGCCTAGGGAGGATCTGACCTCCACATCCCACCTTGTACACGTCATTGGTCCTCTCTATATTAAAAGTTATTTAAAAAGTATAGTACTCAATAATGTGTTTGTGTTGTATATCATTTATCCAAGTTATCTATTTTTTTTTTTTGAGAAATTTTTCTTCGATCCGTCACGTTGACACTGCTGGTGCCCAACGATACGAGTTATCACACCGCTAGTGCCAGTCAATATTATTATCACTCGGACGGGAATTCATTTTCACGTTGTCTTTCGCGCGCGCTGCTGCCGGGTCCGTCGTTCGGCTTCCGATGTACGCCGGTTAGATCTGTTAGAACTTCCCGATCGCCGTACAGTGAACTCCATCGTCGGCGTGTCACATTTACCCTGTCTTTTCTTTTTCCATTTCTCCCTCAGAGAAATATAATGGCTAACGCAGTGCGCAAGATTTGCACGAAAATTGGAAACGGCCATCACTATCTGATGGGCACGACGGTCAAAACGGCGTACAGCGGCTCTCTGATCTCGGACACCGTTCAACAGCACCCGACCAAATCACAGCAGGTAATCGCCATCGTGACTTCGGCGACCTACCTCTTCAAAGGTGATTTGGTTCTATAATCATCATTAGTCGTACCTCACTCGTTTTCAGGTCGAAATTATGTACAAACCAAATATCGACAGCATGTTCCGTCCTTCACAGTCGTTGTTCTCCATTGGATATTCTGTCCACAATAAACAGTACGTAACAGCCGCAGTTGAACGGTTCAACAGACATGACAAACACACTTATTACAGCAATAATCGTATTCCTCTGACTCGCTCAAACAGTATACTCACAAAGTCTAGTGGTTCTAGGAAACCTGACGAATTAGTTGAAAAGGGGCTGCCAAATGCAGATCAACTAAATCATGTATATACTAGATTGGGAGAGGATGTTAGTTTGTCAATAGCATTATTTTTGTTGAAACTTTTATTGCTTATTTATGTATTAAAAGAAATATATGTTCTTTCTTATTATAGCTACCTTTGATGTTTAAAAAAAGTTTGGATTATAGTCTGTACCATCCTAGACTAGTATTTGAGAACAATATCAGAGGAACAAAGAGTGTGTAAGTCATAAAAAAATAAAAATCTAATTTTTCTGTTTCAACTGTATAAAACGGCATTTTAGGGGAGTGGAATACTTCATGTCTATGATATCTATATTACGTTTGATGGGCCATTTAAAATATGCTTTCGTTAAGTTTGATATACTAAAAATAACTAAACATCCAGAAGATGGAACGATTAAAATCCGTTGGAGAATCAAAGGTATATCAGGGATGAAAGTATTCTTTAAGTTTTGGAAATTCAGTTTGTTCAACTTGGAACAAGTTATTAAAGAAAATGTTGAATCGTACGTAAACTTATATTTAATTCTAATTTTCAAAATTGTATAAAATATATTGATGGTGATTAGGCAAAAGGGACTAAGTGAAATTTTCAAGGTTTTCAGGAAAGGCAAAAACATTTTTTATTGGTTTTATTTTCAAATGGCCATAACTTTTTTTTACTTGTTTTACAAGTTTTTGATAAAAGATTTTTTTTCTAATACTGATGTTATATTGAAGACCTAGTTATTTTCCATAGGTTTAGATTATAATTTGAGTAATAATAACCCCCAACAATGTTGTTTAGACTTCTTATTTATAATCGTCGCCCTGACAGAAGTGTCGTATATACCCAAAGTTTTAAAATTAAATCTCTTTATATAAATATCAGAAAATAGTAAGATTTTTAACTATATAATAAAAACATAATAACATAATAGAGCTTGTATTCCACTATCCAGCCATATACATTTTGTTGCTTAGACCCTAATATCGCTCAGTCCTATTTGTCTTGTCACCATTGATATGTTGAACAATAGAATCACCAAAATGTATTTGATTATTGCATTTATACATTTTTAGTATATAATTTCGTAAGCTAATAATAATTTAATAATTATTATTTTTTAATTTCTAATTTATGCTATATTGTTAAGGTGGCATGATGGATTTTCAATATTTTATTTGGGATCGGATGGTAAGATTCACAAACTTACTGCTGATAAAGTAAGTTTTGCTAGACATTTTTACGAAAATTTAATTTTAAAAACCAATCTTCTCTTATTGTTTTAGATGCAACCTGATAATGATCCAGTTATCGAAGAAAAGAACCCACTAGCCACAAAATTAGCCCTGTTTTTAGAACTATCACCCCAGATGAATAATTTTGACTGCTTTATGACACTAGACTCTGAACAGGCTAACACATTACTGAAAATGATTATTATATCCCTTGAAGATGTGTTTTAGTATTAGTTACAACAGATGAAAGAATCTTAGTATCCTGTTTATCCATTAATTGTATGTTATATTCAATTTATTGTTTGATAACAGTAATAAGTGTAACTTATTTATGTCACCAATTATATGTCTATATTATTTGTTTATTTATTAAAAATGTTTGTTGAATGTATATTAGTTAAGTAGCTAAGTTAATCAAAACACTGTTAATGTTATTAAGTAACCATTGAATTGTTTACAAAATACAAAATGCTACTTAATATAAGCATTTGCACAGTTGTTGATGAAAAATCAAACATGATTAATTTTCACTAGATCATCTTGGCTTATTGTTTTGGTTAATTTTTATATTGGCGTTCTTGTTAAATTCATACTAGTAATACAAATGATGTATGTAAACTGTGCTAGTATTGAAAATAAGAGTTTTGACGTAAAAATAAAATAAAACCATTTTATTAAATAAAATAAAAAAATATTTTTTAATAGATAATTGTTTACTTTAATGATAAATTATTTGTAGTGTATAAATAACAAACAGTATAACATATTACACTTTTATTCTAAAGACAGCCAAATATTTTTAAATTTTGATGGTCTTTCAAGTCTTAGTCTAAATATTAAATTCTGTTCTATATTATCAATGTTTTTGTGATAATGAAAATTTGAGTTTAAAAATAAATTATGCGAATCATATTTTTAAAAATGTTTTTTGATGCAAACCATGATTGTCATTTAGGAAAAAGCGATTTGATGATTTTAAACAAAATTATATTGCCAGGCTTCATGCACCATCAACAAAAATTTGATGGTAAATATTAGATTAACTTCCTGTTTTGTAGTCAAATTATATATCTGACAGAAAATATGTGATTTTATAATGGGCAAAAATATCTATGTATGTATATTCATATTTAAAAGTGTCGAACACAAATAGGCTGAAAGCTAACGTAGTTTGCAATTTCAAAATAACTATAATTTTTGCCCTAAAAGATTATTTAAATAAGGGGAGGTGTCTGTATAGTAGATATAAAAATATAACTATTTTTTTAAAACACACTTTAATAAAATAATTTACCAACAGAATTGTAGGTTAATATAAACCTTTACCCATGGACTAATCGGAAAAGGCGAAAGATAAATACTTAAACTGTTCATGTCTTAACTTGAATATTCAATATTAATTTATTGTAACTTATTTGAGTAATTTTTTCTAAAATTTAAATTATATGGCAACTTCATGTTACTAAATACAAATGTATTTATTATTATTATATTTTTTTTCTCTCACAAAATGGATATTTTTTGTCTCAATATTTTTGAAAAAAAAAAAATTATTTTAAGCTATAACTAATATAAATACAAATGAATAGTAAAAAAGGATGGATGGACCAGTTAATCAAAAATTTTAATATCTGTACTTAGTAAATAATTTGAGTGTAAGTGCCAACTATATACCATTATCTAACAGAAACCTCTCAAGATTGTAAAGATCAGAGAAGTCATTCAGGTTGAAATTGTAAAAAAATATAAAAAAATTAAAATAAAATAAAATTCCTACACCATGATAAAACCAATACATTCCTCATTTTAATCAGAATACAACCAATAACAAAATAAATTAATTAGGACTTAATAATATATTAGATAATATTTAAATTTCTACAATAAAATTTAAAAATTTTCAGTGGAATAAAATGTCCAGCATTGTTATAAAAATAATAAAACTGAATTTGTATTTAAAGCAAAAGAAATCTAAAATATATCCTTAATAGGTAATATTTAATATAATAAACCAATCATAACATATATTAATCTAAAGAAAAAATTGAAAAAATGTGTCACACAAAGAAACTGTCTTTAACCCTGCTTATAGTCAAGATATTGATGCTTTAATAAAAACCGTATAAAATTAATTTAGGACGTAAAAAAATGCAATAAATTCTTAATAGACTTAAAAAAGCCATTCAAAATCATTAAAATTATTTATTTATTTTTTAATTAATTATTAGAATATACGATAATGACTTTAAGACACATGAATGAATGTATGATTGAAAAATAGGTGTTTAGTCAAATTAATGTTTGAAATGGTTTTCATGGCAACAAAACCAGTGAAATTAATTTAATTTCAATGCTAATTATGATGAAAAATAAAAATATATAATATATTGTAATGACGAAAAAAAAAAATTAATGTAAACCTATTTATTTAAATTTAGAGTATAATTAGGTATGCCACTGAAACAAATACATTTTTATTAGAGTAACTGTCTAAAATTTAAAAAATTAAATATCATTTACATCTAAATTGTAGGCCTTAACAATTATTTCTAACATACAATATATTTTATCAACTTGTTAAATGAAAATTAAATAAATGTACAATTTGTTAAATACTTTTTTAATTTAGGAAAAACCAAAGTTAGAATGAGTATAAATTTATATATACAATATGAATATCAAAGAATCAATTAAAAATACTAAAGTTTATGAACTTTTTAATGGTGAAAAAATATTTGTCTATTATTCGTTTAGTCTTTTAAAGTTTTAAATTAATTCAATATTTTAATATTGCAAAAAACATTATTTTATGGTTGTTTGTATAATAAAAAAGGAATTTTCAATAAAGGTGTTTATGTGTCATAATAAGTTACAAATAAAATTAATATTTTTTACTAGAAACTTTCTTGATAAGAGCTGTACGTTGTTTATGGGCTTCAGTGATTGGTGCCTTTTTATAAGGCCTTAATTCGTCTGTGCCAAAACCAGGTATCCACATATTTAAATACCGTTCTGAAAAAAAAAAGTAATACGATTAGATGTTTCATTAAGAAATCAGATAATTTTAAAACAGTTTAATAATAATTTTTTTAGTTACCTAAGTATAGTTGGACATCTTTAACTTCAACAATAGTTGATTTCCTATGTTTGGCGAATACGCATGCTGATCTTACCAAATCATCAACAAACTCATCAGATATCTGCATCATAAGTTCTTCTACATCCTCTTCGAGTTGTTCATTAGGATCTACTTCTTTGACAAGTTCACGTAATCGTACTTTTGTTAATAACTAGAAAAATGAAAATACATCTAATTTTTTTTCGCAGATCAAATTTTAATTATCTTTTATAGGGGACTTAATTTTGGTTTATAGAAAAAACCGCATAGTTTTAATTAAAATTCTGAACAATTATATTTTTTTTTTGTTTCACATAACAAAAAAAAAAAAAAAATTGAATCAAGTAAAGCAATAACAGAGCTAAACAATTTAATTTTGGCTTATAACTCAAATTATTCAATATACATTACTAGGGCCTGGAAGTTCATGCACTAAAAACTATCAAAATAAACATGCAAATATCTGCTTAAAATCACGTAATTCACAAATCACAAATTTGTAGCTCACCCAGCAGCTTTTTGATGCACCCAATAAAAACATGCAAATGCATGAACTTCCGGGCCCTATACATTACCAAAAATCCAAAAATGATTGAAATAATATAATGATTATATCGGCTGTTAGAAGGCTATTTGACGTGAGCGCCATAAACCAAATTGTTCAGGAGAGCCTAAAAACAATTTGAGGAATATCACATTGTTCTATATTCTTAAACTACCGTTTTTTTTTTTAATTATACCAATTATTTATTCGTGTATAATAATAATATAAAAAAATTCTTTTTTTTTTTAAATTTTAACTTAAGTTTCGTCACTTATGACCTATTTTAAAAACATTAAAAAAACAAAAAGGTGCTTATTTAACTATTAAATTTTTGAAATTAAATAACCATACTCTATTCACATTAAGCAAGAATCTCAGCATAGACCAACTTTTGCCGGATAATGATCAGCCTACACAAGTGTGTCATCCCCACCAGTAGTGTACTCACCGTGGGGGGTTCATGGGGTTTGAACCCCTCCCACTGGCCGTATTTTTTTATAATTATTCCAATAGTTAAATAATAATTGATTATTGATTTTATTGATTATAATTTAGTGGTTTATACGTCATTAGTTACCAGTATCACAGTTATCAAGTTGGATTGGAGCACGACCATAAAACATGTTCTATGACACGACTGCACTATTAATTTAACATTTTGGTGACAATTAGTGATAATGTGGTTTTTTTAAACAGTACAAAATTTGTAATTATTATGACTATGGAGGGTGTGGGGGGGGGGCAGAGCTTCCCACTTTTGTATTCTAGTAAATTTTTAGAGCCCCCCATTGAAAATTCCTGAGAACGCCACTGATCCCCACCGAGTCAACCATATGCATGCCTATCTACTATCTAATTAGGCCTCGTCTATATACAAAAATTGAACGCCGAGTTCTAATGTGAGTAGAATTCACTTTTTTAATTGTTAATAAATAGCTCATAACAAAATTATTACTTCATGTAACAATATTTTTAAACAATACTAAACAAATAATTGTTGTATCAAGATAATACTTAATTTAATAAGTGGAAATACTTTTTTTTTAATAAAAATAAAAACTATAACATGATATTTATTACATGAAAACATAATTCTACCACAACAGTATCATTTTTAAAATCTGTATTACATTTATCTAAACTCTTATCCTTCATAATTTGACTAAACAAAACATTTTTCAAACATACATTTTCAAAATTTTTATAAGTACAACACTTTGAATAAGATAATTTAGAGTTAACACTACTTACAACGTCATTATTGCATTGCTTGGTAGCAATGGCGATTAATTTCATTTCTGGACTTAAGGATGTCATGATTTAATTAAAATAACACATAAAACATTCAAACATGTTCAGTAGTTATTAAAATAGTAAAAACGATTCTAGTTAAGCAACTGTTTATGTTGTATCAATTCATTTGTTTGTCATTTTATGTTATCATTTTCGTGCGATGCGTTGCGTATCCGGAGCCCTCGTCGGCGGTGGTGATAAGCCTCCGTGAGCAACCGGCCGGGTACGCAATCCCGCTGTTATCATCGCATGAAAGTGTCGTTATTTCCACGTTTTCAAAAGTTTTTCGGTTATGTTTTTGTAAAAGTAAAAGTCATGTTCTCAGTGCCACAAAGTTTCATAAGATCTCGTGTTTTTTGGTTTAGTGTGGTGGCACTGAGACATTTATCTTCATTTTGTGGTGTCCGGCGGTCTTAGCTTTCGTGGTGAATGTCGTCGGCCCCATCTTCCTCTCGTTTTTGTGTCTTCGTGGTGTGATCATCAAATTTCATTTCGTTTCAAGTTTTCGTACGCCCGCAGCCATTTTCATTCAAACCACGTTTTTTGAGTAGTGTCATTTTCGTTTTGTGAATAACGTGGTTTTCATTAATTGTGTCATTGTCCAGGGTTGTGAACCATTGCAGTTGTTTCGTTGGTGACTGTGCTTGAGTGGTCGCACGTACCAATTCTGTGATTTATTTTCATTTATACATAGCGGTGTGCCGTCATAGGCAATTGTCTAATCACAGGGTTGGTGCGGTCGCGTGGATAGAATCAGCCATTTCAACATAGTCACAAGTTAGTATTAATTGACCATATTTGTTTAATTTGTGTTTAAAGGCCGACGGGCCTAGCCATCACTGGAAAATTATTTATTATTTCGTGTGCGCCGTGTGGGCCACACATTTGATTAATTTATATTTATATATTATTATTATTATTTCTTTCATAATTCAATTATACAGTCCACTTAAAATTCAAGTTGTCTTTTTCTATGATTTATATTTACTTTTTCATTTCAAAACAATGTTGAGTTCCCCCTGAGTGGTTATTGCTATCATCAGGGTAAAACTTCTACCAGCAACCTATCGATTTTTTTAATTTTTTTTCTCCAAAATGTGTGTTTTATGCTGTTTTATAAGTATGTAAAAAAAAGAAGCCCGGATAAACTTTATCTTGAAGTTATTGATGAAAAACTTGAAATGATGTCCATTATAATATTTTCGTCTTCCGAATTTTGATTCGTCAATTTCAACATTTGACCCCGGTCCACCTACATACGAAGTATTTATAAAGAATAATGCACTAAAAATTGTCTAACAGTGAAAATGAAATAAATTTTTTTTGCAAACGATGCGTGTGGTATCGGCAATGGCCAATGAAATTATACGAGTGTTTCGGCATTCGTCGCTACGCTCTTCGGTACCGTCGCTTTGCTTCGCAAATTGAAAATATCCCTCGACTTGCTATGCAAAACCACCTCAAGTAGGTAACAGGGACAATAAAAATGGAAATATGTGAAAATTAAAATTAAATATTCAATTCCGAGTATTTAAAAAAAAAAAAAAATGCGCGTTATGAAAAAAATTTAGCTTTTGAAGTTTTTCATCAATAATTTCAAAATGAAGTTTGTCCGGGCTTCTTTTTTTTTTTACATATAAAACACCATAAAACACATTTTGGATAAAAAAAAATTAAAAAAAATCGATAGGTTGCTAAACTAGAATTATGCCAAAAGAATAATTATTATAATTTCTTTGACAATGAACTATGGTTATTTATTTGTAATAACTAGGCTTAGGGACTTCTAGCATTTGCATACATTTTTTTTTTAATTGTTAAATATATCAGAGTGCGAAATAAATTCGTTTCTCTGTGCCATGATATCAGATCTAAAATTTAAATTAGGATATTTTTGCATGTTCGATAGATTTTGCAGGAGAATGCTTATTTTAACATTATGTTTATTTTGCATATTTTGACAAATTATCAAATAATGATAATAATAGTCGATATAGAATAATAGATTATTTGTTTAGTGTTTCAGTTCAGTCAATTATTCGTCGTTTTTATTGCGTCTCTCAACCACAACGTTGAAACATACGTAAAACGTCGTATGCGATAATTTGTAACATTGTGTTATGCCGAAAGTACAACAGTTTACGAGTAGCCGACTACAAAGTTTTGTTTCAGAGTTTAAAAATATATTTAAATCCGATGAACACGTTTTATTTTGTGTACTATCTGGTCATTTTTTTTTTTTTTTTTTTTAATGCATATAAATGCTTATTTTAATGATTTTAGAAGCATATTTGTGTATTTTTAAGAGCCATAAGTCCCTAAGCCTAGTAATAACATTTAATACTAAACAACCTAAACAACGATGTTATTAAGAAAAACGTTATCAAGAATTCAAAACTCCATTCTAGTCGTAATCACCAATAGCGTTATCAAATAAATACGCGGGAAAACGTGTAAAATGTCGTAAGCAACAATGATGTCGTATACGACATTTAACATTTTTTCAAAAGTCGCTAACATCAATTTAGTGTTGCATACGATCTAGGTATTTAAAATTTTGCAATGAACATTAACAATTTTTGTCGCTTACGAAGAACATTTAAACATAGATAAAATAAATTTTATTTGATGTTATCGGTACCTGAGTCAGCGCTATCTATGCGTCGTTATGTCCCTTATGCGTACATGACAAAAAGTGAATTTCGAAAAATTGGTCGCTTACGTCAAATAGCCTTCTAACAGTCGATATGTTCATAAATAACCATAGTAAATAATAAAGAAATGCCTATGAGTTAAGTAGGGAGTCAGATATTAATAATGATGTGGAATTGCCTTTGCCTTTAATTACTCTTGACAAGCATTATAAGGTATACAGGTTGTACGTAAATATATTCTTGAACAACAATTTCAGACAAGATTTTTTTCTATGCTCAACATAATTCAAAACTACAGATATATCCTTATCATACAATAAAAAACAATCAAAAATATGTAATTTCTTACAAAAATAGTACTACTTCTAATAGTTACTTAGCAGTTCTATAGTATCCACATATTCTAACGTTCTATTATATCTGTATTTTAAATCAAAATTGTTTCCAATAGTTGCACTTAACATTGAAATTTTTACCATAAAACATTAACCATTACATAAAAATTATACAATTACACAATTGCAATAAACCATAGGCGCCGTCGTACGATGACGTACAATGACCTTCGAACTGTATAGTAGGTATATAGTAGATTAATTTGTCTTGAAACAACAATAAGCACAAAAATATGATCTAGCTTTGGAAATTATCTACTCAGAATTACAGTTTAGTTTTCGTTGTAACACCTTATAGGCATTTACAAATTTTTAATACTTTTTGAAACATTTAAACAACGTTATTGTTTTTTTTTTTTAGTTTTTTATTGCTTTAAGATCTGTAGTCTATTCATCACCAATAGACAAATAGGCCATACCAATAGAAAAGTCATCAATGTTAAGCTTCGACAAACAAAAACCTTACTACCTCTTTTCTTAGTTGATATCAATTTCAAATGGAAGTAGCAGTAATCATTTTTCCATAACCTCTCTTCTACACACATATATCAAAGTAGAAAAACCCATAAAAAGCATTAAACCACAGTGTCAAAATTGCCAAAGCTACACTAGATCTTACTTTAATTAATGTAAAAATTAGGTGCTCTTATAAAAAGTTGTTAGTAATTTTCATAGTTAACTAAGAAATTGCAGGAAATTTATAATAACATATTATTATAATACTATAATAATATTTATTATGCTGCTACAGATTAATGAAATAATAATTAAAAAAAAACTCACTGCTGCATTGTCTCCAATGTTATTTTTAATGGTCATATTATGTGTATTTTGCTGTTGTTGAGATTGTGTTGGCTGCTGTTGTGATTGATGTTCCTGTTGTAGTTGCTGAGATTGCTGTTGTGTCTGTTGCTGTTGTGTCTGTTGCTGTTGTGTCTGTTGCTGTTGTGTTTGTTGCTGTTGTGTTTGTTGCTGTTGTGTTTGCTGCTGTTGTGTTTGTTGCAGTTGTTGGGGTTGCTGTTGTTGTGGTTGCTGTTGTTGCTGCTGTTGGGGTTGATGCTGCTGAAGTTGTTGAAGTAGTTGTGGTTGTTTTTGTTGTTGTTGCTGTAATTGCTGCTGCAAAGGTTGTTGTATTAGCTGCTGTAAAGGTTGTTGCTGCTGCTGAATTTGTTGTTGCTGTTGTATTTGCTGTTGCTGTTGATGCATGTGTTGTATTAAAGGTAGCTGTTGTATTTTCTGCTGCTGTTGTAACAGTTGCTGCTGCTGTAGATGTTTCTGTTGCTGTTGCAGCTGTTGAAGTTGTTGGAGTTGTTGTTGCTGTATAACAATATTTTGTTGGGTGGTTGTTACTACTGATTGATTATTGAGTGCAGTAATTGTTGAAACTGAAGAAACGTTATGTGGAGTAATAGTTTGTATTGTCGTGTTGTTATGAGGTACAACTGCAGACACTGGTGTACCGTTAAGGGGAGCAATTGTCTGTACAGACGAATTGCTGATTGGTACATGTACATTACTAAGAGGTCTGGATGTAGGTGCTGATGGAAGATTTAAAGCTGATAATGTTGGTATGGACTGGTTAATGAGGGGCGCGACAGAAGAGGCAGGCGTATTAATGATAGTACCCATCGTCGTTGAGGCAACTGCCAAGTCAGTGGTGGTTTGGGGCTGAAATAGAAGGAATAATATTAAATAATGAATCTTGATGCTATTGGTCGATCGACACTTACTACTAGTCGAACGATTCCATCTTCAGTTTCCATAGGCGTTACGTTCACGTTACCATCGACATTCGGACTCATCATTACGTCGTCATTATTCATGATCAACAAAGTTGGGGTTAACTGGTCATAAGCTCCACCGGGCGATCGTCGTTCTAATACGAAATTTGAAATCTGATGTTTCGAAAATTGAATAAATTAATTTTTAGTTGAGATCGGCAATTCGTGAATTAATTTAAAGAGTCGACTCTTTTAGGTGAATGAGTGTAACCTGCTCGGCTGAACAAAACTAAAACACAGTAACTAATGTTCTTATCAAAATCGACTTTTTTGTATCCTCATTGTCATCTTGTTGCGCTGAATTAAATCATATTATTTTCTTTGGATTCAGATGATTATTTATCAATTTACAAACAAGTAACTACAAGAGTTTGTTATATGATAAGAATTTTATTAAACAGAAACACAGTAACTAACATTTTTGTATTTTCCTTAAGTTATAAAGTAAGTTATAAATTATAATTTAATAGCTAATAAGTAAATAGGTAAGTTACATATTATTTATTGTCTGAATGTAAAATATAGTCTTACATGATTAATGACCAGGGTTCGGGACTTATAGCACTTAAAAACACAATAATAAGCGCTTAAATATGCACTTAAAAACCTTAGAATATGCATAAAAAATTAAAAAATATGCATTTAATATATTTATTATTTTATTAATACCTAATTATTAATTACAATTAGTGTCACATAAAATTTTTTTAAAAAAAAATCAACTGAATGTTTCTTGAATATTTGAGGCTTTTGAATTTTATTCGTCAACTATATAATGATGGGAAAAATTAAAAATAAAATTTAATTAATAAATCAATAAATATATAATTTTACATTTAAGTATGTGCCTTACCTTATTGTTATATTGAATAATTAAATGTTTCCGCAAGTTTTCAAATGTAAATGCTCTTCAATTGTCGGATAACAGAGTTTTGTACAATGAAAATGATATCTCGACGTCCACTGAAGTGGTCAGTGCATATTTAAAATACACAAAGTCGTTGTATGAATAATCTTCAGGAAATTGACTCATCCGAAATTTCATTTTCTCCTAAAATGTTTGATATTTTCTCCAGCATTTTAAGACCTTCATTCTTTTCAAAAACTTTTTGTAGTTTTAAAAATACTGCTTTTCCTTTAGTTCCTTTTAATGATTGAAATTTAGATTTTACTTTTTGAATTGCAGTAAGTGAATCGGCCAATGGAAGGTTTTTCGTTTGTAATTTTACAATGGCTAATATAAGAACTTGAAAATTACTTTTGATATAAGCCAAGTTATTTTCTAATCCTAGTTTCAGTAAGTATAATTTTACTTTTTTAATATTATCTGCATTTATTACGCTACATATTATTTGGAAATTTTCATAGTAATAAATTGCGGCTTCGAACCATGTCCCCCAACGTGTTAGGTTCTGGTGGTAATCTAATTCCTTGAGCTATCGATTTGAACAAAGCAACACGGTATGGGGCTTTACGAAATTTTTTTTTTCATGTTTGATATCAACTCGTCAACACTATTGAATTGTCCATGAATTTCTTCAGCTGAAGTGCGTGTGCACTGCAAGTGGTGTGTATCATTTTGGTATATAAATTGTTGAGAACTGAACCGGCCTTTACCATGTAAGGAGCTACGTCGGATAAGAATAGTATGACGTTGTTTTACATATTATCTTCAGGCCATAAAATGGTCATTGCTTTATTAAAGATTTTACAAATAGTATAATGATTTTTTTTTTTTTCTAACTTTTCTGAGTGCAGTAGAAATTAATGACCAACACAATTTGGCTTAAGAATTCCAACAATAACATTTGCCACACATCATCCTTGTACATCACATGTTTCATCAACTAAAACCCAAATTTGATTGTTTCATTTTCAATTCTTATTTTATCCATTACTTGGTTGTAAATGTCATAAATATATCCTTTTCGTAAGTTAGCTTCAAATGGAATACTTTTATCCGTATGTTTTTCTAAAAATGAACGAAATATTGTGTTTAAAAGTTTATTAAACGGTATGTTCGCGGCCACCATTGCTTCGCATAAATCCTTATTAAAATCTGATTTGGTAGGTTGATTGGTTAACAGTTGTTGTGATTTCCTCTCAACTTGATCTTTTTGGTGTTTGGCACTTTTTACGTGTTTTTTAGTTTGAATGTGTTGGCTTACGTTAAACTTTTTTTCGAAATTAATCTTTAATTCACAAACTTTGCAAAATAATACAAACCCATCAGTAGATAATATTTCAGATCCAAATTCAGATACATAGTTTCTCAAACGCGCACTAGTGGATTGTTTTACTCTCCCCATTTCGAGTATAATATATTTACGAAAAAATGTATACGATTATCAGTACGCAGGCGAATACACAACGACGACGGATAAATGTTACATAAATACGGATAAATGTTAAACGGACTGAACAAATAATCGAAATTATTAAATAACTATTATTGCCTTAATGGCCGCCAGCCGTTCGAACAATATTTACCGGGAATACCTTTAGTTTCACAGAACGTTTTATAAACATATTATATAATGTAATATGTTACGATACGGGCAATACGGGCCATTATATTTTCTAATCACGAAAATTATGAAGAGTTGTGAGTTGTGTATAGTAAATAGGTACATAAGATTGCATTACTATTTTTTTTTTTAGATAGGTTGAAATTTTAGATAATTTTCCAAAATATGCAAAATAAGCACATTCCTGCAAAATGTATGAAATATGCAAAAATATGTTCATTCAAATTTTAGATTTGGTATTACGGCATTGAAAAATGAATTTATTTCGCACTCTGCTACATTTTACAGTAAATAAAAAAAGTATGCAAATGCTATAAGTCCCGAACCCTGATCATGACTATTACACTGTTACTACTGAATTAAATTCAAATTCTGTGACTGAAACACCAAGACCAGGTACTATAACTTACATCTGAGTATATTTTAGTTTAAATCTACCTTCACTAATTGAATGAATTATGTTTTTTCATGTGTTAGATGAAAATGTTTTATTAAGTGCAACACATTCTAATACATGATGATATAATTATACATAATGATGGTTGTAATAAGAAAAAAAAATTCAGTAAGATCAACATGCAGTTTGGCAGGAAAAGAGGAAGAGTAAAATAGAAAATGTTAAAATAAAACATCCATTTATAGAAACATTCCCTTGTCCAGAATTATGTAAAAATAATTGTAATATTAATATTTTGGTTGATCAATAACAACAAATTTGGAGTGATTTCTGGGCTATGGATTATACTTCAAGAAGAAGGTACTTAGGAAATTGTATTTTAGTGTCTCCAGTTAAACGTCAAACAACAACAGATTTCATAAATAATTTTAAAAGGAATAAATCTTGTTATTTTTATATACCAGCTGGACCTAAGAAAGATAAAATCAAAGTATGTAGATCAATGTTTCTTAAGACATTCGGATATTCAAATGATTCTATATTAACAGCTCTTTATAAAAATTTTAAAAATAGTGACACTCCATGTCTATCAATTGTAAAAGAAAATAGAGGTAACAAAACTGGAGTGAGTAATTTAAACATTGACAAGACTTCAATAATTAACCATATAAATATGTGTAATCCATGTTCTAGTCATTATCGTAGACATAATACTTCCAATATCATGTTATTACCTTGAGAATTGACTGTAAAATCAACGAATGAAGAATTTTGTTTGAGATATGGAAAATTGTTTTCACAAGAAACTTACAGAGAAGTTATAAAAGAGTTGAATATCTCATTAAAAAGTCCTATTTCTGATAAATGTGAAGATTGTACCAATTATGCTAATCAAATAGAAAATTCAATTGATGATGATGAAATTAAGGAACTTAAAATTAAATTAGAGCAACATAAAATCAAAGTATTTCAAGCAAACACTGTAAAAAAAAGATGCCAATATAAACACCAGCAGCACAACTAAAGTATTTTCCATGGATCTTCAAAAAATTTTTCTATTACCAATGATACCAGATTCGAATACTTGGTTTTCACTAGTCATTTAATAGTGTTTAATGAAATATTCGCTTCCTTAAGACCAAAAGGCAAATCTCATTGTGTATTATGGTATGAAGCTGTAGCTGATAGAAAAGCAGAAAACATTGCAGATTCAATACTATCCATAATGAGAGAGGAAAGAGATGCTAAAAATTTTATTTTTTGGGCTGACAACAACTGCACAGGTCAAAATAAAAATTGGGTATTATTCACAGCATTAATCATTACTGAACTCTAAGCACAACAATTCTATAGAAAGTGTCACTATTAAATACTTGACAAAAGACCATACACATATGTTAGCAGATGGAGTTTATGGAAACATAGAGAAAAATTTAAGCAAGTAAGGAATATATATGATTATGATGATCTTAAAAATAAAATTAAGGAAAATAGAACAAATTTAAACATTATTGATCAAACACATTTTTTTAATTGGTCAAACAAGAAACGATTTGACCCAATTGAAAAAGGTTTTAAATTGTCTAGTCTAGTGATGGTAACATTTTTAAAAATATCTACCAAAATGGTATATTATACTAACTTTGATGAGGCACCAAAAGAATTTTTGAAAACCATCATTGATTATGACAAGATAAAATCAAAGAAAGAGGTACAAACTTGAAAAAAAAAATTAAATAGTAAATAAATTCCATTAATGCCAAATAATAGAAAAAGTTTTTGAATTAACTTGCCAGTTTCTTTAACTTCTGAAGACCTAGTCAGTGAAATTGGACTATCAGATACTTTTATTATTGAATGTAAATGATGTATTTTTTATTACTTATTTGTAAATTACACTAGTAAGTATTCTTAACTTGGTTAATTATACTTTTTACCAAATGTGAACAGAAAGGACTGCAATTTATTTTTAATTTTATAGTTTTTTAATATGTTTTATATTAAGTATGTTGAAACCAGAGCCGTGCCGATAAGAGATGGCGCCCAGGGGCAAAATGACAAATATTCGCCCCCTTCCCAATTATTTAATCAATTATGAAATAATTTTTATACATTAATAAATTATGTGATTATTATTAGAAAAAAAATTAAAAATAATGCAACTCAGTATTAGTATTAATAATCAAGTATTTATTTAAAATTATTTAAGTTTATTATTGTTATTGTATTATTTAAAATTTAATTTTTCTGGACTTGATTGAAGCAAAATCTTCAATAACATCTTCAAAGTCGATTTTTTGTGTTGTTTTATTTTCTATTGATAATATTGCCGAGTTAGTTAGTCTTTCTTGGGACATGGTCGATCGTAAGTATGTCTTGATTAATTTTAACTTACTGAAGAAACGTTCTCCAGTTGCCACAGTAACAGGCATGGTAAGGTACAATCTGAATGCAATCACCATGTTTGGACATGTTGAGTCAAGTCTACATGATTTTATTGCATTTAAAATATTTAAAAAAGTAGCATTTTGCACATCTGGTAGTATTACTTTTGCTTGATATTTAAAAAATTCTATTTCGTTAATGATTTCTGGACCTATATCTTCATCGTATTTTATTGCCAAGTCAGCTGCACATTTTTTCATCATTTCAACAGGCGTTTCAAATAGTGAATGGCCGGAAAGAAATTCAAAATCATTAGAAATAATGGATAATTTTTCAAAACGCCATTTAATTTCAGCTATCATATTATCAAGAACTTTGTAATATTCTAATGTTAATAATTGATCGGCAGAAAAACCTTCACTTGTTGACCTCCCTCCACTTGTGATTTTAATTTTTATTTTTCGTTTTATTTTGAATTCTGATTTTATACTAAATTTTTCACAAATGCTTATCGTTTCGGTTTTAATTTCTTCAGTTCCACTGTCACGCATTTCTTGAAGAAAAGTATTTAATGAAATAAACATTTTTGAGGCCTGACCAATGGTAATAGTTGAGCTTTGTAAAACTTTATTCACACGAGAAATTTGATTTAATATTTTATCCCACATAATTAAAAAAAAAAACAAATTGCAAATCAAGTTGTTTTAAAATACTTTCTGCACTAGCTATTTCGTCTCCAAAAGTTGGATTAGTAGATATTTCACGTAAGGACTTCACTAGTTCACCAAACTGACAATATAACGAATGAACTGCATTGTATTTGGATGACCAGCGTGTGTCACTATGCGTTTTTAAAGTAATTTTCAAACACCTCATTAATACTTCCCATCGACTTGTTGAACCGGAAAAATAGTTAAAAATACTTTGTAAGACACCGAAAAATGAAATAATTTTTACCGATACACTAGCAGCATGTACGCCAATTAAATTAAGGCTGTGGGCTGCACAAGGGACAAATTGGGTACGTTCATTAATTTCTTGCAATCGAGCTTGTACACCTTGGTACTTGCCTGCCATGTTTGCTCCATTGTCATACCCTTGTCCGCAGCAATTTTTAAAATTAAAGTCCATCAACTTCCAGCTTATATCAGTATATCAGTAGCTATTCCAAGTCCAGTCTTTTCATTTGTTTTAATAAAATCAATAAAGCTTTCTTCAATTACTATTTCATTATTAACTTCAGTAACATATCTAATTATTTGACAGAGTTGATCATTATGAGATATGTCCGGAGTAGAATCAAAAATTATAGAAAAATATTTCGCTTTTTTTATTCTACAAATGATTTCTTACTTTTGAACCTAGTAAATTTATAAATTCATTTTGTATTTTATTTGATAAATATGTAGTTTGACCATGATATTTTAAATGACTCGATAAAACAGAATCATAATTGCTAATAAGTCTAATTAAATTTAAAAATATTCCACATCCAGGCTTTCCAATTTCATTATTAGATCCTCTCAAAGCTAAATTGTTTACGCTACAAAATCTTACACAGTCAATTACAACTTTTAAAATATGTTTCCATTTATCTTTTTCACTTTTTATTTCAATTTCCAATGCACAGTCAATTGTATTATTTTTATTTACATTTTTCCATTTAAACATATTCATACGGTGTTCATTACTATTTTCATGGTCAGTTATTTTTGGATTTAACTTTTTCCAATTATTAAATCCATGTTTCGGATTTGTAATAGCTGATGATGTCATGGTTTTATTTGCAAAGAGCATACATGGGAAACAGTAAACAGATTTGGTTTTATTGCTGTAAATAAGCCAAGAACGTTCTACTTTTTCACCATTTGAAAGAATTTTAGTAAACCAATTGGCAGTAAAACGTCTTTTATCAGTATCATTTTCAGAAAAATAGAAGTTTGAGTTTTTACCTTGTTCCGGACCATGATTAATTAATAATGAACGAATTTTATCAGTAATTGGTGGCCAAGAAGATGGATCGTTAAAATCAATTATAAATATATTGTGTTCGGATTCATTAACATGTGATTCAGTTTCGGTGTTTTTTTCAGTCTCTACACTATACATTTTAGGTTCAGGAATAGAAATTTCTTTTAACATTTCAATTTCAGGTATTAATTTCTCGGGATTTTCTCTAGATTCATTACACTCAATTTCGTCCACTACCTCATTAGTATTAGTATTAGTTTCATTAACATGACTAGCCGAATTTGTTGAAATATTTTGTTGATTTGATTTTTTTAACCATTTTCCCCATTGATTTGCTAACATTTTATTCTCTAATTGTTTACATTTTAGTTTTTTTCTATTTTGTGCACCTGATAGTTTTCTGGGGCCCATTCTACAATAAATTAAAATATTATAGTAAAAATGTGCAAAATGGAATCTGAGTATACATACGTATTAATTCAAAATAAATCTATTATTTACCGACTTAATTAGATTGATAATAATGTATAATATACAACTCTTACCTTATTAATTGAGATCTAAAGTACAGAACGCTCGTTTTAAATTATTGGTCTCTACAAAAACGTTAAACGACTAAACGAATTGAAATATTTCAATAGATTGCGGCAATATAACTCACCAAACCACCAAACTACAGCTACTAATATTTTTCTGTACAGCTGTAACTTGTGGGTATTAGTTAACGATTTATCGTGGGCACCGGGTGGCGGAATCAAGATAAATTTTGTAATAGCTACATTGCTACATACAATATAGTACTATAATAACTAATAAGTACCTAATAAGACGACGAAAGCAAAGATAAAACAAGACTGGAGTACGTATATCATCGATAACGCTTTTCAAGAAAACAGCGACAACACTATCGGCGTTTTATCGCTGACGGCGCGTGTCAAATATATACCTGCCATTTATTATGTATAATGTGGTCCACAACAGCATTATAAAATAATTTACTAATTTTGATTAATTTTTTTGCGCCCACTTAAAATTTGCGTCCGGGGCAAGGGCCCCCTTGCCCCCCCCCCACGGCACGGCTCTGGTTGAAACACCTCACAGTGATTAATTGTTATTTATAAATATTAAATTTATATTTGTAAATATATATATACTGAAAAAAATTTATAATTTTTAAATACTACGATACTGTGTTTTATATTAGTTATTTCGTTTAATTCAACTCACAAATCCCAAATTAAAAACAAGTATCTGCTATAACTTTGAAACCAATAAAAAAAATTTATAATATTCAATGCACTTGAAAATTTGGAGGTTCATATGTTATCTATAATACAGGGTTACAAAATTGTATGATTAAAATTTTTTAGCAGCCTGTTAATGTTTGGTAAATTAGCACTCCTGAACAATTTCACAAACTAGGTACTGTTTTTATATCCACCTTGGTTCAGCCGATATATATCATATGAAGCGATAACGAAAACGAAGGGAAAAACTCATGGTATCAATGTCGTTGTGTAATATTATATTTATAACCAACAATTAATTAAAATATACTAGCTTCTGTGTTCCTCGCTCCGGGTGAAATTCGCTTAATTAATATTAATAATATCAATTAATAAATTAATATCAATTAATAAAATCAATAATATCAAAAACATTTTTATAATCAATTTATCATGCAATACTACCACGATTACCACTCGAGATAATTATTACTATTGATAATATACGGGTGGAAAACTGATACGCCTTCGGTTTCAAAGGCGTTCGCTATCTAGGAGACCCTCACCTAATTGTTTTCTTAAACTTCCACGGATTTAGAATATATTTAATTTAATTTGAGCCAAATCACTTAAAATACCGGCCATTTAGAGTCTGAGACTTAAATTGTAGGGCACCGTTTAGAACGTGTAGGGAGGTGCCTGGGAACACCCGGTAATATCTTCCGTACGCACACCTATGATAACAAGAGTACCCATAGAACGTTAAGTGTCTCTTAAACAATAGTTAAAGGCAGGGACGCCCACAGAAATGTAGCTCAGGGGGGCAAAAAAATTGTAAGTACCTAAATACTTATAGGAAGATTTACTGCTACATATTTCATCTACTCATATTTTGTATTACTATCATTAATAATTTTTTAAAAATTAAAACTCATTTAAGTTTATACGAAACAATCTTTTGTTTGAAGCAAATAAATTAATTGAATCATCATTTGTTGATTAAAAAAATGTTAGATACTTGTTAGATACAAGGATTGTCAAATAGTCACTGAATACCCAAGATCAGCTTTATGTAAAATAACTTCCAATTTTGTAAGTGACGCGAAAACCTCGGAGGGGGGGCAATGGCTCCCACTGCCCCCTCCCATCCGGGCATCCCTGGTTAAAGGTTAAATATGTAAATTATTCACTATAATAGAATGGCATAGAATTTAAAAAGAGGTATAAATATGCATATAGATTTTAATATTTCAATTACAGAATAAAATATATATTTATGATTACAAAAGCATTATATGTGTCTTCTTCCGTAACTTACCGAAGGGACACTTATGAAAAGTATCTTAGATACAACAATTTATAAGTCTCATAAACGCTAGAGAACTTGACATTATCAAAGTAAAAAAACATTCAATCACACTATAGTCGGTTCAAAGAAAGACATAACACATAACTTATTCTCTAAATATTAATTAGACAGTGTATATATAATGTCAGTCTACACACAAAAAACTATCAACATGGAAATAGATCTTCCTTGATGATAACTGAAATAAAAAATTTGTGCGATAATTGAATACTTTATATTAGGTGTGTATACTTAAATGTTGGCGTTAGTTACGTTTTACACTAAATATTCATAGTGAAAAACGCATCCAAGAAAGACCACGTGGAGGTCGCCAACCCCTTTCTCACATTCAGAGAACATAAAAGTACTCATTATCAATAATTAAAAAATATACAGAATGATTATATAAAAATATAATTTATGAAAGACAGAGTGTGGAAGTTTCTTGTAATCATGTGCTTTATGGCCTTAAGAATGTATGAAGATAATGTATAATAATATAAAACATAACATAATCTAAGCAAATATTTTAATTATTATACAGCGTTGCAGTAAGATACGGTTGAAGTAAATAAACTATAGTAGGACAATAATATATTCTTATAATATTAAGAAAAAAGTGTATTAATACCCAGCACTTGGGTACAATAGTACAACTCATGTTCAAGCTTTTGCTAATCCATTACTCTGCAACCTACTATGAGCAACATAATCAATATAGTTCTAAATATTTTGAAAAACATTTATAAAAAAGTGGAATAAAAATGTTAAAAATTGTAATCCATACAATGATTTCCTTATTTTATAGCTGTGTTTTGAATAGTATCATTAGCAACTGTATGTGATAATAAAAATATCAGTAAAGTCAATCAAATTCCTCCTCAATTAAAAAAACCCATAGCTCTCCTAATATTTTATAGTAAATCAAATAAAAATGAATGTGTAATAAACAAATTTTAAAAACATAGTATGGAGAAGGTATAACTTACTGGTTCTTCTTATTTCCATAATATCATATTAGTTTTCATTTCCTTTCATCCAAGTATAAGGAGTGTTACTGTAAGACTTTTACTAAAACCGGAAAAAATAACATTAAATATATATAATTGAAAGAAAGAGTTAAAAAATGTAATACATACCATGTTTTCTATAGCTGTATTTGTTTTTAATAGTATCATTAGCACCAATAACACATTGAATTCAATTCCATTCCAAAGAATCAGTGGCGTAATTTGGAATTGGTTTTGGGGTGGGATTGGGATATAAATTTATACTGTCATGGTTAACTACCACAGATAAATATAATTTGTTATGATAACAACCATAAATATGGAGTGATAACGAAAATGAAGGGAAAAACTCATGATATCAATGTCGTTGTGTAATATTATACTTATATACACAAACATTTAATTAAAATATATTTTATATAACTTAAATCAGAATTAAGCTAGTTAAAAACAATTAATGGCTAGGAAAAAAGCTAGGAGCAAGATTGTGTATTTTTTCAGTCAGATTGAAATGAAAAAGGCCAGATTTGGACTTAAAAAGGCCAACATGGCATCACTGGTTAATACCTTGTACTATTGAATAGAATAATATAATGATACATTGTTTATCGACGTCGTCGAAAGCAATTTCCTAGGAAAATAAACCAAGTTTTGCTGTAATGCTATAAATAGTCGAAAACAAGACACAATATATATAGTATAATATAGTTATTATAGTAATAAATATGTCAACCACTGTACTCATTTCATTAATATTAATGATTATAATAAGAACTTTTAGATTATATAATAAATAATTGATAAATAACTAACATTAATATTTGTTTTAGAAAAAATTTCAATGTTTCACGTTTTTGTGAATTATTGCATGCTTTAAGCACTAAACAAGAGTGGTAAATTGTAGATTTATCAGTTTTATATTTTAACTTGAGCTATACAATTTTCTTGTCATATATTATAATTGTTGAACTATCGTAGTTTTATATTAGTAAAATAAAAAAAATCTCAACCATGATAATATCCATGTATTCTTATTTCTTATCTTAAAATTTTTTAAAGCTTAGTGCTTACGAAAATTTAATTATAATTATTCTAAAAAAAAAAAAGCGCCTGGGGGGGATATATCCCCATATCCCTCCCCCCCAAAATTACGCCACTGCAAAGAATAAAGTATAATGAAAACATACAACAGCTATCTCCTTATATATTATGCAAAAAAATAAATCAAATTGAATGTATTCAATATTATTTAAAGACACAAATAAATCATAGTCGAACGATAGACCTAATAAACATATGTGTGAACAATAGAATTCTAAAAAGTATTGTATATATACTTTTTAAATCTGATTGTGTTTATAAAAATATCATTGATGTTTATCACATTCCTTTTTATTTTTTGGTAAGACAAATAAAAATTTATGTAATTAACAAATTTTAAAAACACATTTAAAACATATAGTGGAAAGAAATTAATTTATAAAAAGGTAAAACTTACCGGATTTACATTACATCACAAAAGTTTTCATTTCCTTTCGTCCAAGTGTAACGGCTGCAGGCGCGGATCAAGGGGGGGCGGTAGGGGCAGCCGCTCCCCCGTCAGCCGTATCAAAATGTGTTGTATCTCATTTGTTGTACTATTAAATTACATTATTTTGTGTTATACCATTCTAATGTATTGTTAATTGTTATTGTTACAAATTTTCGTTTTTTATTTTTATAACTTAAATATATGAAGTGTCGATAACAACAATATTATTGCGACCGTATGAGCGACGACAACCACCAGCCGGCCAGCCCAACCAACTCATAGAGTTTTGTCCTAAAAATAGTATGAGATTCCATGTTTATTTTGTTTACAGATATTAAAATCTTCCTAATTCCTGACTGCCTGAAATACAGTGGCGTATTTAGGAATTTTGCTAGGGGGGGGATGAAATATATAATAATACATCCTAACACCCATAAATTCGTACATAATATACATTTTTAAAATCCCCTAACTTGTTACCTATTGAGGTTAGTGTGGATCAAGGCAAAATAAGAATTAATCTTTATAATTACCTCATCATTTTCCAAACAAATTTTTTTATTTGTACTAAAATAAGAAAATAAAGTTTTTTTTTGTTTTTGAGTATTACTCATATTGTCTTAAAACTTCACAGTTACAACTTACAAGACGCAAAAAATAAAGTCGAACAATAATCAATTCGGCAGTAAGTCAGTACTCAGAATGGCGCGGCGTCGCTATCCGTCAACGACCAACGACCGTACATATCTACTTTTAACGAATCACGATATCATACGATAATATATATATATATATATATATAGCTATACATTAGCCATAAATCTACTAGTAACAAATTTTCTAAAAATAAACCCGCCCGCCTGCCCTATGGTTAATCCACGGTCTTCATGGTCATTTTGTTTTGTTTACCGATTGCTTATCGGGTTTATTATAAACACTCTTGCATGAAAAATAATTCGCAGAAACGTACAAAATACAGTACACCATAATATAGGTATAGTTTTTGTTGCCTGATAGTCGTACATGCCGCCAACGATAAACGATTAGTGGCGATTAGTATACCAGACTATCAGAGCGGTACAATTACCGCGACTAGAACATTTAGAAAACAGAAAACATACATGCTTGAAAGTAATATCATATTAAGAATATTAGAGAAAATGAGACAACTTATAGCTACCTAGGATAAAAAAAAGGTCAAGGGGGGTATCTATCCCCCATATCCCCCCCACGTAAATACGCCACTGCTGAAATATACATATTTATAATACAGATATCAGTTTATTTCTAGCAGTACCTATAATAGTAATAATTGTTGTGTTGACTGTTGACATTAGATTACACTATTTATTTTGACAACCGTAAATATACATGCGTACTTGTATTACGTATAATTTTCTTAGTAATCGAAATTATATTTCTTGTAATACGCCGTTAAAAGTGACCGCGATTAATTCTTTTAATTTAATTGGTGACGTTTGTATTATAGTAGTAAGTTGTTATACTGTAATTATTTCATTTTATTCGTTTATTGAACAAAAATATAATGTCTAAGAGGAAAAATGTCGATATTACACATTTTTTTAAAAAGAAAAGTGCAACTAGTGCAAATACTGTGGAAAATGATGATCGAAAAACTGAGGAAAATAAAAATCGAATTGCAGTGGATTCAAGTGAGTCGTCTTTACCATCCAAAAAAAAGTATTCATTATAAATTTATAAATAATCAGGAATTGCATTATGTACTATTGCATTTATAACTATTTATATATATATATATATATATATATATATATATATATATATATATAATAATAATATAATATAATATACTCGTATTTAGCAGTAGGTATCTAAATATGTATACTTATTTATAATCCCCCCCCCGTTAAGGTAGGCTGGATCCGCGCCTGAACGGCTGATACAGTAAGACTCATTACTAAAACCGAAAAAAGTAACATTCAATATGTAGTCGAACGTAGAAGTTAAAAAATGTAACACATATCAAATTTTCTTTATTTTATGATTGTGTACGTTTTATCGTTATTTACGTTAGTATCATTAGCACCGACGACACGTTGAATTCAATTGCATTCGAATGCAAAAAGTGTAAATAAATCAAACAACAGCTATCTTCCTACATCGTTTGGCAAAACAAATCGTATTGAACGTACTTAACGCTGATAAAAAACAAATTATAATTTAAACGTATTACGTACCATGTTTTCTTCGTTTCATAGCTGTGTGTAAGTGTTTAATAATAACATTCCACTGTTTCACATCAAATCAATATATGTAATGAAAACATCCGATTAGTTATGTCTCTTCATATTTTTCGGTAAAACAAATCGAATATTACATAACATATATTAAAATATACGTTTAAAGCGAAGAATTAATGAAACGCACTCGAAAACGATTTCACCAAAAAAAAATTTGAAATGAAAAAAAAAAACGGACGCGACGGAAAATAAATAAAAATGAAACCGCGAACGGAATCAACACTCTCGTGTCGTCGATAAGATTCGGCGGCGGTATTTGATAACACACGGCGGCGGCGAAAATCGGATGCGACGGACGGAAAAAAAGAACAAATCCCGCGAGAGCAGAAACGACGCCGATACGAATTAACGGCGGCGGCGGGGCCGGAATCGAAATCTGTACCCACGGGGTCCTATACGGACCGTACGCCTACAACATACCTACTTATCGAGTTAAAACTTTGAGAATAATTTGGAGATTTAAACCGTTCAACGGGGAGATAAGGTTGACGGAAGACTGCCGATCGGTGACGTCACGGCGGCGCGAGAGGCACAGGTACAGAACGCTCCGATTGAGTTGGTGCTTAATGGTTGGACATCTTGGATTTTCATCCGGTTGCATCGGGAAAACGACGGGTCGGAAAATCAAACGAACTGCTGAAATGGACGGAGGAGACAAAAGTCTACAGGAAACGGTCGACAAAGTAACGAAAATTCCTCCGCGGGATTTAAAAAGTTTTCCGACCAATCAAGACCCGGAGAATATATAATAGATAGATTATATATAACTTAAACCAGAATTAAGCTATTTAAAAGCAATTAATGGCTAGAAAAAAGCCAGGAGTTAGATTGGGTATTTTGTCAGTCAGATTGAAATGAAAAAGGCCAGATTTGACCTTAAAAAGGCTAACATGGCATCACTGGTTTGGTGTGCTCGAATGTTTAAAAGCATCAATACAGTTTTTGTACATTCCGTAAATGAGCTGTTTATAAACCTACATATAATAATGTGACGTGACTATATAACAGCTATACCTATCGTAATTGTCAATTGCGATCACTTGAAAAACGACCGATAATGGAAGCTATAAATATAGTCGGGGGCGTAATATTTTGTTTATTGATAATTATATACTGCGGTGCACTATAATAAGCACGGTCTAGACTAGAAATAATAGACATATTATTTAAGACCATGATTATAATACTATTACTTAAAAAAGAATAACAAACATTTTTTTTATTCATTTTTTCAGTAGTAATCACATAATTTTTTTATTTATCAATATAATAATATAAAGTTTTGTATGGTTTTTTTTTGGGGGGATGGGCTTTAAATGTTTTTAAGGAGGCTTGGCCCCTCCAGCCCCCCCTAAGTGCACCTATGTGGCCTGGTGGGGGGAAAAAATTGACCTCTTTATTTGCTTGCACACCCTTAAAAAGAAACTGAAATGGCGCCCCTGACTCCTAGAGTTTTGAAGACTCAAGTCACCACTGGCCGTTCGCACACAAAAATAAAGACGTCGGTGAGCGGCAACGATCGTAAAGTCGTCTCGGCCTCACGTTGAATCGTAAGGAATATAAAAACCGCAATTGTTGTTATCACTTCGACGTCGAACGGCTAACTTTATCGGTGTACGGCCGGCGGAAAAGACGTGCGCGTCCGCGGTCGCGTTATCTCATCACGAGATATGACTTATCAACGAGGATCGCGAACGATATATCTTGATTCGTGCACGACCGTCATAAAGCTGAACGGCGTCCACTTGTTCAGCATTACCCGTGAACTGTGACGGTTCGCCGAAAGTTTACGCTTTTGTACGCTTCTCGTTTTCTCGAGATCCTCACCAAATTAGCGTTCGTCGTAATAATTGTTACCGGCCAGTACGTACTCTGCCGGTCGAGCGCTCTATCGCGATGTACCGAAAGCGCCGGCAACGTTTTCCAGTTGTAGTTCCTAACCCGAATGCCGTAAAAAAGTCGTCGACGACCGTGTGAAAGACATTTGCGAACCCTTTCAAACACCACCTCCGCCATCGTGGACATGGATTTTTTTGCACTGCTCACCTTCATCATCATCTTCTATATCGTCCTCCTGTTTCTGGATGTCACGTTCAAAGTAATTACTGTCGATTGTATTCGCATTCACATTGCCCAACCCTGAGCAATACGCACTACTGGTAATGTACTTGGTTTATGGTGTTCATGCAGCGTTTCTTATGTTTCAGTCTTGTTCGCATTACCCGTACTTAACATTCTTACAAAAGACCGGACTGAGTGTTGGACCTTTCCAATTACGATGGTATACAACTTTGTTGAACCGTCTGATATTGAAAATGTCATTTTGGAATCCAAAGTTCCAGACTAACTGGTTTACTTTTGGATCCTGGGTAACTATATGCCTGATTGTGCCATCTGTGTGCCTTGTTATTGTGTCGTCTGCTCAGTTGTGTAAGAAAATATTCACAGAGCCCACTAATGAATCTACCATGAACCAGCAAGAGATGTATTTGGAGCCAGTCGTAAGTAACTATCATAATATTTTCATATCATACTCTAAGTGGTTTTTAACTGTCCATTTATTTAAGGTACCCGGAGTGAATCTGCCAACATCAGACTTGAGTTATTATGTACTGGCACTAATGTTTTCAACTATTTTTCATGAACTAGGACATGCATTAGCTGCAATCAGGTATTTGATTTCAAATCGTTTCTCCATTAACCTCATTTTTCTATATTAAATATTAAAATGTATGTGCATGATTGTGTATAGGGAAGACATGCACATTGATGGAGTGGGCCTGATGTTCATTTTGATTTTACCAGTGGCTTATGTCCATTTGGAAGATATTACCTCGTTGCCAAGTAGCAAACAGCTTCGGATCATGTCTGCTGGCGTTTGGCATAATATAGTTCAAGCCATTACTGCATACCTTGTTCTATTACTCTTGCCCTATATGCTATTTCCATTTTTCACTATAGGGAGTGGTGTTGTAACCACCAACATAAATCAGGTAACTATTATTATTTTAACAGATATTTTTGATTTATTTTTTTAAATATAGATTTTACTAAATACATATCTATGTACTTCATCTTTCAGATTTAAAATTGAAAAAATTTAAAATTTTTATTTTTATTAAATTGTTATCATTATTACTTAAATATAATGTTACGTCTTTATAGTTTTTATTAGAATAATAGAATAATTAACATAATAAAAATGTAATGAGATAATAATTTAATATACTATGTGATATATGCATAATATTTTGATGTATTACTATTTTTCTCTTAGAAATCTGGTGTAAATGGCCAAGGAGGACTAGTAATTGGTGATGTAATTACAAAGTTAGGGAATTGTGATGTAAGTGATTTTAAATCATGGTTAGACTGTTTAAATCGTACTATGACCAGTGTGGACTCTGGGTTTTGCCTATCACCAGAATTTGTTCAACATCATGATGAAACAAAATCAGGTAAAAATGAATGCTTTGAAATTTTAGTATTGATGCATAATGCTTATTAATGTTTTGAACATTTTTATTTTCAGTACATTATGTTGATGAAAATGTCATAAACTGCTGTGATCCAAATTCAAAGACTAATTTATGTTTTGAATATATCGAATCACTTTCAAATCCTCAAGAACTTCCAAATCATTCTTGTCTGAATGTCAGAAAAGTTATAGAAAGGTCAACTTCACTTTGTGATGCCGATAACCAGTGCTCATCAGCGCATTGCTATTATCCTGCTATCCATAAAAACCATAAGCTTGTTGTTATTGAACGTCAGAATAAAAATGAAGTTTTATTCCTTGGACCACCAATTGAATTACATTACATATCTGTGACACAATATGTACCCAAGACTGATTATTTCTTTTATAATATACCTGAATCAATTGAAAAATTTTGTAAGTACTTGATAATGTTTGCGGGAGGCTTAGCTATTATAAATGTGATTCCTTGTTTTTATTTTGATGGAGAAAAAATATCAAGAGTTTTAGTGAACACGATGCTGAAGGATCATGTTGAACATTTAAGTGTTCGGTTAGCAATTTCTATTTGTCTTACAATTTTTGGGTCTTTAATTTTAATAATTTATACGATCCTAGGATTTTGGTCCCTTTTAACAATAATAAACTGAAAACCAACATTTTAAAAGGTTCCTATTTTCTAATATAGTTAATAAGGGCATAATGACTGTTAAATTCCAATAATTTATTTGTTGAATTATTTTCCTTGGATTGTATTTGTACTGAAGATGTACATTGAATACCATGACATGTATAATTTCTGAATACTGCAAAAAATGTTCTCAATTTTTTTTTTATATATATATGTATGTATTTCAAAACTAAGTGTCTAAGAATTATAATGTAGCATTTATTCAATTATGATTAAATGTTATCAACATAACAATTTCACTAAAAAATTACCTTAACGACTGAAAATTATTTATTATTTTAAATTATTAATGTTTTTTTTTTTTTTGTATTTTTGTGAAAACATTGTTGACCTCAATTTTTCAAGCTGTTATTATTTGATTACCAATTCAATATAGTGAAATAGTCCTAGTCTTAATATATTTTAATAAATATGGACATAAATATTTATTAAATAGAACTATAATAGTCTTTAAAGCCCTTGTACCCAATGAACAACTATCTTATTTCATTACATGTTTTTATTGATGACTTTGATCGAATTAATAAATATTTATTATATTAATTGAATATATTATATACCATACTATGTTATTGCTATTTAATTATATTATTAATTATTACTAATGTAATTGTATATTTGTATAAAAATAAAACTATACTTTATTTGTACATAATTACATACATTTATTATATTATTTTAATCCTATTGAAGTTATATATTTTGACAAAGATAAATTTAGCACTTTTAAAATCAATTTATCTATGTTCACATCATAGCTAGGTACTAGTAACTAAGTTCAAGAAGTTACATAATTTTAAATTGAAAATTTTAATAAAGTTACCTTCATATTACATTACTAAACGTAAATAGATTGATGATTTAAAAACAGAAAATAATTTGCAGTTCCTCATTTCTGATGGAGATGATATTCTGATTTATTATCGAATGTCAAAATGGATACAATTTTTTTTTTAGAAGAGTGGACAATAATTAACTACTAAAAATTCGAGATTTTTTAAATTAATTTTTCGATACAAATTATTCTAGATATTTAAATGAAAAAATCTTAAGTCATCATTATTATGTCGTTGAACATGTATTGTAGAATAGTGAAGTATTTATGGGGGGAGGTATGGGGGATATATCCCTTCCCTTACCCTTTTTTTCCATATATAAAGTAAAAACTGCACAACTGTTGTTATTTATAATTTCGTTATCCTGTGGGCTGTGACTGACAACATGTGAGTCTCTAGCCAGTCCCAATAATGATATTGGATTTATAGAAGATAGAGTAGTATTGACAGAAGCTGATAAAAAGCTTTTAAGTTCATTCTTGAAGCAAATTTAGAGAAGTCTGTAATTATTTAAATATATTTTGAGTTTTCACTAATACATTACATTTAACCTTGTTTAGGTGCTTACGGATTTGTGGGTACCAGATGATTTTTACAAATTCCCATTACTCGAAAAAAAATAAGAAACGAGGCTTACGGTTTCAACATAAATGGCTGAAAGAGTTAAATTGGCTGGCATATTCAAATGTAAAAAATGGTACTTTTTGTAAATACTGTATCCTGTTTACAAGAATAGTGGGATTGGAAGTTAACCTTTAGGGAATCTTGTTACTGTCGCATTCACTAACTGGAAGAAAGCAAATAGGTTTATCATTAATTCATACTATCATAACATTTTTATTTTTTGTTTTAAGTTCAATTACAAATATTTCAGGTATATAGAGTTAATTCCAGTTTAAAATATCATACTTCTTCTGTACTAGATTCTGAGCAATTTTTGAAAATAATGGAAAAAAAGAAACCTATAATTTAACGTATAGATAAAAATAGGTAATTTAAAATATTAGTTTTATGTAATAGTAGTTATATCTGTTTAAATTATATATATTTATTAATTTAATGTTATTTTAGAATACCTACTATAAATAGAAGAAAATAGAAAAAGAATTAAAACAATTATTGAATGCATTATATTATGTGGTAAAGAAGAATTGGCTTTAAGATATCTCTAATCACCGTAAAGATGTTGGTCCAATCAATGTTGATGGTAAGTAAAAATTTGGAGCAAAGTAACTTAGTAACCAGCTCTTATAGTATTTTGAATTTTTAGATAATATAAGACAAGGTCATTTTCGTGCCATATTGAAGTATAGAGCCAAAAGAGATTACTTTCTACATACTGTTCTGGAAGGTTTTGGTAAACGTAATAAGTACACTAGTCCAGTCATTCAAAACGAAATAATCCAGGTGTGCAATATTATATTACTACGAAAAATAGTAAATTAAGTTAACAAATCAAAATCTTTCTCGGTTCTCGCCAATGAAACAATAGATATATCGACAAAAGAGCAGCTCTCTATACGTGTTCGTTATATTGATTAACAAAATATGCTAAATGAGGACTTTTTACAGTTCTTTGAAATTGAAAGTTTGACCGGTGATGCCTTGGCAAATTCCATATTAAATGGTAATTTTTAATTAATAATTAACTTATTTAGTTTATTTTATGTGTATTGGTTTTTTAGGTTTAAATAGATGCGGTCTAGATTGTAATTATTCATATGGCCAGGGCTACGATGGGGCCAGTTATATGGCTTGCCAATTTAAAGGAGTCCAAACTCTTGTACGGTCTAAATAACCCAAAGTTTTGTATGTGCACTTTGCTGCACATTCGTTGAATTTGGCAGTTTCAACAGGAAGTGGAATAAAACCTATCAGAAATTGTTTAGAACTCATTGAAAAAGCGTACACATTTTTTAACACCCCCAAAAGGAATTGTATTCTAGTACATGTAATTGAAAATTTTGACAATGAATCAAGCATTAAACAACTGAAACGACTGTGTCACACAGTGACCCGTCATTTGATCCGGTAAATGATATCCGGCGACAAATGATCTGCGAAATTTAGTCCGGTGAAAACATATCCTGTCTCAAAAATATCTGATTTTTTTTTTTTTTATTGTTATGTAAAATATGAACAATTCAAACAAATACCATAGTCGTGTAATCGAACATTTTTTAAACTAAAACATGTTATTTTTAAGTAAAATATTATGTATAATTCAGAATATAAATATCTCCATAAGTCTTTTAACTATAAAATTAAAAATTAAAATTATGAGCTATGCCTTTTAAATAATTTAGCAAATTGGTATAATTATAATTTTGTATAACATTTTTTTGTCAAGGTTCTTATACTTACGTTTTTTTGGATTAATCTCACCTAAATTAATTTTCTCGATTTTTGCCTCTTGCAGCCCATGTTCTTTCTTCGAGAAGTTGATAAATTTCTATATCGTGGTATGGTGAGATCCTAAACTTTTATTAAAAGCATCATGACAACCCTGAACAGTGTTATTAGTAGTCCGAGGGAAATCCATAACTACATAATTGTAATAATTCCATATTCCTAAGGGAAACATTGGATTTTTTCTTCTACGAACTATACGCTCAATCGAAGTTTTTCAAAATAATATTATATTATTATATTATTGTATTATAATATTATATTTTGTCTGTACTATTCTTATAATCTAAGACTTAACGATATCATACTAATTTTATTTGAAAAAAATTTAAACGTACATAATATCATTTTTAGTAGTAAAAAACATTTATAATAATTATTTAGGTAACTATTTTAAACAAATTTTTTAATAATGAAAAATTATCAGATATTTTTTTCCCGGATATTTTTTATACAAGATATGTTTTCATCGGACCAAATGTTGCGGATCATTTGTTGCCGGATATTATTTACCGGATCAAATGATGCGGAACTGTGCCACACGTTGGATTCAACGCTATGATTTGGTAAATGATTTTTTAGAGCTATTCTCATTTGTTCTTTTAGCATAAGAAATTATTTCTGATTGTAAAGATCCAATTGAGGCTCATATGATAAAGAGATCAATGGAAGATACTGAGTTTATAATTTCACTGTTATTTAGATATATTTAATTTAGTTTGTTATTTTAATTGAGTTTTTACTGAATTTTTAAACTTTATTTTAGTTATTATTTTTATTTGGATTTCCATTGTTTGATTACAAAAAGTACAAATTGATCTTAAAAGAACTATATACATAGTAGAAAACGTGATATCTACTTTAAAGTCCATTCAAGAAAATAATGAAGTAAAATTTAGTATAGTTTTCAATAATGTTAAATAGTTTTAGTTTTTAAAATCAATTTAATTTTATAAATTATTGATGAACACTTAATAAATTCAATATTAATAAAATATTTAAAACTAATTAAAATATCATATTTTTTTTAGAAAATGACAGATAGTGTTGGTATTGAATTGTAAAAAAAAAAACAACTACGAAACAAACTCAAAGAGCTAATGTACTTTATAATGTATATAGTATTTACTGTTTTAGGGTTTGATTGTATTTTTAAAACAGAAGCACTTCCAATTAAATTGAAGGATAGAGAAGAATTTATTAAACTTATAGACTATTATTCACCTGTAATAGACCCATGCTCTAGTTTAGCTGAATTAAATATGTGGAGAATAAAGTTAGTTACAGAACACATTGTTCTCAGGTCAGGACTACAGGCACTTACAATTTGTGATGAAGCGTTTTATCCAAATATAAACATGATATTAAAAATCTTCTGCACTCTTCCAGTGTCAATAGCTACTCCTGAGAGATCATTTTCCAGTTTAAAAAGAAATAAAGTCATACCTCAGGAATAGTATGAAAGAGGTAAATAGTTTGTAATTATTTCTTTCAGTTTTCAATAAAAATATTTATAATTACTGTTCAAAAATGCGTGTGTTATGTGATTATAGACTAGACTTAATGGGTTGGCTATGCTGTCTTGTCACAGAGAGATTGAAATTATAATAGATGAAGTAATTAATGAGTTGTGTATGAAAAATAAATAACTAAAATTTATTTTATAAATAAGAATAAAATAAAATTTATAATTATTATTTTTATTGTTATTATATATCTCACATGGAGTAACTGATAAAAAGTTGCAACAGCACTAAACAAATTTTGATATCCCCCTCTTCAAGAAAATCCTATATATGCCCCCGTTGTAAAAACGGATTTTACCTATCAATTTTCACAATGGAACGAGATGTTATCAAACTTTATTAAATTATTGATGGGCGTAAAATTGATGAATTGCCACTGAACAGGTTATTAGGATATGTATCATTGTGTTATTGTCAATAATAATTTGATCAGAAATTTAAGAATCGCTTAGTTGTACAATAATTTTTATGATGACTTATTGAGTTATAAATATCGTATATTATAAATAATTAACAATTAAGAATGACTTGTATATGATAACATATAAAGTTAATTTAATGCGAACCAATATATTGTACTTAAATCAGTGCCGGATTTAGAGGGGGTTAAGTATGTTAGGTCAAGGCGCTGTAGATATAAAGGGAGCTCTTAAGTATATAAAAAATAAAAAGTTATGAACATACCTCATACTTCCACTTACGCGAGGGCGCTGCATTTTTATTAGCTCCGGGCATCATTCCCTAGATACGGCACTGACTTATGTATATATATATATTTATATATTTATTATTAATATAATTATTAATAATTTATTACATTATTTAGATTATATCTTAACAGTATAGCAATTTTGAGCGGTGAATTGGCACTAAAAAATAGTTGTAATATATAAACAACGATTAATGCGAAATAGATATATGCGCGTGCTACATTTGTGGAGCGTCCATGTAATACTCGTGGGGACGAATTCTCATGTTCGCCAGGTTAGTGGAAACTATGTAACCGGTGTGATGGTTTGGTACCAGACAATTCGAGACGGACATCGACATCGGAGGATTGTTGTGATTACTGCCACCTGTCAATTTATAAAATGTAGCTTTGTATAAGTAATATGTGTATAACTATAAAAAAAAAAATGACAATATCGACTTTAAAACAAAAATGCTGAACCCAACGAATAAAATGCGTGATCGTATAATTTTTATGTCATTATTATAATGCACTGTTTTGTGGTTTTCAATGAAATATTGTTGAAAATCAATTCAAAGTTGAAAAATGAGGAGTAAATATTACATTTGAACGCAACTTGTAACCCTTAACATATTTTCATTCATATATAATTTGCATGCCGTTTGATCAAAACATTTATACCGCATAAAAACTTATTTTATATTGGTAGGCGCATACACAAAGGAAAGAGGTTTAGGGATTTCCCTAACCGAAATTTAGGAAAATTATTAAATACGTATCTAAAGAGTAAATAATTATAGATTACATAAATATGAAAATGTATAACCTAACCCCTCCCCTAAATAAAATATTTTTTTATGTACGTGTCCGTCTATTAGTAATAATAAATCATAAACGATGTTTCGCGGGATTGCGACGCAAAATAATATGTACCAGTGGTCACAGGCAAGAAAGATGGGTAACCGGTAGAGTGCTGAAACATTCCGCATTGAGACAAACCGTTCGATTTCCACGTCGAGTATTCCAAGAGACCGCCGAAACCGGAACCTGTGTGAGAAAAAAATGAAAACAAATAAATATGTTTATTGTTCGTTCATGCTGCAATCGATGTATAATATCTATAGTATATATATAGCTTATTGATAGTAATTTTGTGTTTGATGAAAGTTGACTGTGTTATAACAGACACCAAAGACCAATGTATTAAATATTTTTAAGAGATTATTCTTTACTATCAGTTGGTTTGTGTAATTCTTTACGAGATAAAATTAAGCTAATGATAATAAATAGTGTAAGAATTAATAATTTCAATGAATCGACCACATTAAATATGTATATTATATCATATTTTTTTTTGAGTATACCAAACCGTAAGATGCCTGGTCATTCAGTGGGTATTTCTCTACAGAATAAAATAAGGAATTTGGACGAATACAGTCTGATTTATAGGTATTCGCACAGGGGGATGTCGGATGTACTCGAGCACCCCTCAAAATGTTATAAATGGGGCCCTACAATACAATGTTGCTTTTTTCATATTAGAAAAAATAAAATGTTCGTGCAAAAATGTCTTATGACAGCTATAATTAACTGAAAAAGTACAAACTATACATGATTGAAGATATCTGAGAAAAATATACGAGACTCAAGGAAAATGTATTTATTGGGATTAATATACCACAATATTAAATTAAAAATTAAATATATGTTTGTTTAATTATATATTACAGAGATAGATCTATAAATTGTTCATGGGGGTGGGGTGCATAACCGTATATACACAAATATAAATTCGATATATGTATGGTAAATTGTAACTTTAGGAACAAAGTTAAATTTTATAATTATCAAAGGAATAAAATAACATAATATTATGTTATTACAAATTAATAGTATAATTTATTTTTGTAATACAAAGTCAAATTTTTGATATTTTTCTTTGAGTTTCTATGAGTATATGGTTATTGCACAAGAGCGAACTCTATTAATCTTTCTTCTTCCATTTTTGCCCTTAACCAAGTTAAAAGCAGCCTTAAAAGGAAAACTTCTTTCTGATGACAATGTAACTACAATTTTAAGAAATTATGCATGTACTGGGTAGTAATTTTGATCTAAATGATTGAATGTCTCATGAACAGAAATTACACTTTTAATCTCAGAATTTACTGATAAAGAACTATTATTTTTTTTTTTTTTACTGAAATGACCAAGACGATGTTTGACAAGCGTTGGTCAACGATATCCTGCATAAATGAAGATACTTAAGGTTTCAATAATTCTTATTGCAGTGCAATGTATAATATTATCGATTGATACAAGATAAAAAAACTGCTATTGGTGTGTGACTTGTATGTATACGACATTACAAACGATTCTGTACGGTTTAAATTGTTTATTTTATTTTATTGGTAGACGAAAAGCTTAGGATTCTTAAATGATCAATAAAATAATGGAATATTTTTTTTTGCCATGCATGAAAAAAAACTTTCTTGGGGAAGAGCCCCTTCACTTCCTTGGATCCATGTCTGATACATTAAAATTTATTAAATATACCTACACATATTTTGAGGTCAGGGCCCAAAAGTATTGTAGGCGCCCCCTGAAATACAGATCTGTGCACGCCTATGCTTCGACTAAACATCATAATTACTTTCGTAAAAATAAATTGCCGTATTGCGATGAATATAACTAAATAGTATTATAAAATATTATAAATAATTAAACCTTCATATGAAATTTGTATTTTTTTTTAATCTGTAAATGTGATGAAAACAGAAAACTAAAAGAAATTCGTTCGAGTAGGTATTTCAACGGGACATAAACTTATATTGATGCAAGATGAACAAGTAAAATAATAATATAATTTAGTGTGCAGGTTGTTCTCATATTGATTTGCGGCTCTAATTAATAAAATGTTTAATGCGACCTTAGAAAATCATCGAACTCTATATAAACGTAGATACATTGCAAACAGATTTATTACTATATGTATTAATTATAAGATATATATGTAGGTATTATTATACACACCAGTGGTAAATGGCAGTTCCGAGTGAACGGCGTTCGCATTAGACCTAGGCAAAAGGGGTTGTTCCACCTTCAAGGATCTGTCAGACGGGATGGCAGAAACGTTGGGGTTGTTTCCGGACAGACTGCTTCTTTCGTTCCGTCTGAATTTGGCCCGTCTGTTTTGAAACCAAACCTGAATACAATATAATATAACACATATAGGCACACTTCTATTTGTAAAATATAATATAGTAATATATTTTGAAGTTTTTAATATATATGGATATCATTAAAAAAAATCGTTTATTTTCCAGTCAAAATCATCAAAACTCTTCTTATATTTCGTCAATACTCTGTTGAGAAGTGTTATGAGAAAAATGACGAGTATAGGAGGTCATTGGAAATCGTTAAATAGTTTGAGACACCTCAAGCTCATAAAACTCCAATGATTTAGCTTTATGTATGCATACTAGTACCTAACCTACCTTACACGTGGAAATAAAAATTATCGTAGTTAACGCTCCGAGCGCGGTAAAAAATGAGTTGTAAATTGAATGAAATAATAGTTATCTTTATTAAATTTAACACGCATTAAATACTGTACAACGCAATGAAACAAGGCCAGTGGTATAGTTATACGTTTACATATTGCGCTTAATTTATTATGAAAAACACGCGATTTAGTGTTTATTTTTCTTGTTTATTGTTAATAAATGGTCATAAATGTTGTGATGATCAGTCTAACATACGATCATGGTGCCATTAGAATAGAACCCTTAAAACCGATATTTACCGTACACGTACTTATTACGTACATATTTCACTAACACGTAGGTATAAAATATAAGCCTACTACGTTATATATACTACTATACTGCATTGTAGATGCAGTGAATATATACTATTTACATATTATGTAGGAAAACACACACACACACACACACACATATATATATATATATATATATATATATATATGTATAATACACATTGTATATAGACGGCGCGCTCTTGACATAAAGCCAATGGGAAGAGGACATAGTATACGGTTACGCAACAGTAACGATGCGCGAAACACAAAGGACACTTTTTTTTTTTAAATTTTTAAAGTTTGTAAAACGATATTGTACGCGATACAGACGTATACGAACGCATGGTAAATAATGTATTATGTATATATTTATAGTAAAATATAAAATAAAAATTAGTAAATAGTTACACTCGTAAATCAATAATAAAATATAATAATAAACGCTTAGCCCGGAGTATTATTATATTCATACGTATATTGTTGTTTCACAGAAATCTCGCAGACGAGATACGTAAAATTATGATTTCTTAAAACGATTTCGTGTTCAAAACACGCGTAGACACGAATCCGACGAATGCACGCGACGTTCATCCGAAGCCGTCGAGTGTCCCGTACGTATAATATAAATATATACACGTGTTAATGTACGTAGAATTCTGTGTGTACGAGGTTTATTTTTTCCACGGCTCTCGGTGTACGCGACGACGTGTCCTCTGCGCGTTAATTGATTCGGACTTGCAGGGACTCTCACACGTGTCATCAGAAGCCTTCGCGTGTGTACGAAAACTGTGTTAAAACGTCTATGTTTCTTTCGCTTGTCATCTCGGACTCGAGTGTAATCCTCCTCCGCGCGCTTCACGAAATCAGTGGTCCGCGAATTCCTGCGTGACCCGACTGACAGCCGCTTCTCAGACCGCACTTCCTTTGATTTACCGTGCGCGTGTGGTGCATCCCCGTGTTGTATATTTGTTGAACAGGCGCCGCCGAACCTTTCGGCCAAATTGGGGACACATGTTAACGTGCGTCTTGTGTGTGTGTGTGTGTGGTGTGTATGTGTGTAACGGTAGAGGTTATATTTGATGCACGAAGAGAAGGGGTGAAAACAATTTTGCCATTATATTGCCAGCCTTCCTTCGAAAACTATAATTATACATATATAAATCATAACGCTTGATAAATATTTCACAAAAAATTTAATAATGTTTGTTATACGTAGATAAATATAGTTAATATATGTATAGAATGTCCTACGAATATTTATGAAATTATAGTGAATTATCGTGTATATTTAAAATACGTATTAATATAAATTAGATTGTTTTATAGTTACGAATTATATGTTTAAATTAATAGTATGATAATTCATAATAATAGCCACACCTACATATTTTTTATTTCATAAAGCTTGATTATAAAATATTATTTATAATTTAAGAGTATATTATAATTAAAAGGAATATAAAAATGTTGTTAAAAATACTCGTCATGATTAACATATTACCACGAAAATTTTCGTTTTTAACTGATATTGTAATTTATATTTGGTTAATTTTTTACCAATCGCATTTATTCGCTTACTAGTCGATTAGCTGTACGAGTTTTGTTTAAATACTATATGTTATATCATATGCTATCATTGAGGTTGATAAAATTATGATCGATGAAATATGAATTAGACTAAGAAAAAATGTCTCATCATTAGGTTTGGCTGTTCTTTCCTCAAAAACATTAGTTCTGACTGTTTTAATTTCAAAACTGGCCAAAGTGTACTCTACAGATATCAGACAGATATGTAATCGTATATATATACATATATATCATTATAGTAGTTGAAAAATTATAAATTTATGGTAATAGGACGCACACGTGACTTAATATTTTGCATACGATAATTCCTTGACTAAATTTATAAAATATAGAGAGCATGTTGGTTCAATCGTTGGTAATGTGAACAATTTTTCTTGGACATCAGTATCTTATTAGTTATTATGTCTGAAATAGTGTTATATAACAAATATATCTTAAAAATAACTAATAATCCAAAAAAAAAAAAATAGAATTCAAGCGGGGAACCGCCTACCGTCCCTTTATATCAGTCACTGTTTACGTCTGCAAGTGTGTGCATATGCGTGTGGGTGTGTATGTGAGTATGTGTGTGTGTGTGGTCTAGGCCCATAAACCACGTCCGCCACGTGCTATATGTGTGATATGTGATGACGGCGGCAGCGGTCGCGTCTTCATTATTTAACGCGATCGTATGTGTGCCGCACCACATTAAAAGAGTCCGGTGCAACAAACGTCGTACTGTCAATTTTGCACGCTACTAAATATATAGTAATATATAAAAGATAATAATGCATTTATAATATAATATGCACTGCTGATGCATGTGTAGCATAATGTATTATTCCCAACCCTCACGTTGTACCGTTACATTCCCGTTAGTTATTTAATTTTTCTTCGTATTAATAATGACAAATCAATTATATGTAAAGTAATTTTGCGACTTTTAATGTTCAAAATTCGTTTATGCTGACAATTTCTGAGTTTTTGGAAGTATTATTGTTCATTTTTGTTTATCATAATTGGTTAAACTATGACACGGCACTCTTTTTCTTTAAACAATTTAGGTACGTAAATTGATCAGTTGTGATCAGAAAATAAGTCATGACACGTGCTCGTTCAATAAAAAAATAATCGTTGACATGAATATAATAAGTCGTCATAAAGCGTCCAAAAGAGAGAGATTTAAAGTTATTATTGTTGATTATAAGCTGTTTTTTTTAAAAAATGCACATAATATATAGGTATACTCCTATGCTATTTTCGTATAATTTTACAATTTAAATTTTTCCTCGCAGTGATTTATTACTATATTCGATTATAAAATAAATGAAAACAAGTAATTCTTACTTGGACCCTCGCCTCAGACAGAGAAACTCTTCTTGCCAGCTCCTCCCTGACAAACGCGTCTGGATAGTGTGTCCTCTCGAACACTTTTTCCAGAGCCCTCAGCTGGCAGCTTGAAAACGTAGTACGATTTCTTCTCGGTTTAGTTTTCCGCTGACTGTTCAGCTCTGTATTCGTTTCTGAAAAAAAAACTATAATTTTTTCATATTTTATTAAAATTTATTTATTAAGCAAAATTATGTTACCAAATACTCCGCATATATGTATAAACAGTATTATAACATATGATAGTACGAGTATGTACTAAAAATACACGTGCGCATGAATAATTAATACATCTTCTGTGTTGTACGTTTTTTTTTTCAACGCGAAAATATTATTGTCTTTCCTCGATAAAAATATTCCTCCACAAATTCCATTCCCCAATTATACAGAAAATAAGTTGAACATTTGTGTAAAACTAAATGCAATTCCAAAATCTCAGTATTTCTATATAATGTAGATTGCATCACGCATAGAGAAAAATAATAATTGTTTAATTATTTTACCTCAACTCACTTAATTGTCCTAAATATTTTCGTTAGATTCAGTGTGAATCAAGTTAACCATGAAATGAAGACGTGCCCTAGTATTTATTTTATCTGTCAAAACATGTACGTAGAGAAGAGCTAGTTATATTTAGGTACAATGGCGCTCAAACATTTCCCAATGATCCGCGCAGTTAATAGTTTTAACCACCCACCATCTTCCAGTAGTTACCACCTCTCAAATAATAATGATAAATAATAATACTTTCGTAAATACCTAAATTGTAAATTTGGCCATTTATAAATCGACGTAATAATTTGTGTTACGACCTAGAGGTGCGTAAATGTTATACATTTCACATACCAGTTAATATGAAGTGCGCACCAGCACTGAGCACCCGTGCAATTGCGATACTTGGTAAGCGGTATGGGCGCCAGTGTATAGGTAAACGTGTAGAATCTACACTGTAGATGATCATACAATAATAACTATTATATTACATGCCATACGAACAAAATTGCGATTGTTTAGAAATGTTAAACTATTATATGAATTGAAAATAAAATCGTTTGAAATTATTTACCGATTAGGCGTTACATTTTTTCAATCACAACTTTAATTGTATTTATTTAACATATAGGGTTGGGATAAAGGAGTTATTAAAATTGCTAGTGAGGGAATAGATGCAAAAATTACTTAATAGTTTTAATACTGCAGCTCTGACATAATTAACGTTAGAACTAAATTGATGCATTTAATAAATTATCTTAAATTGAAATTAAGATATTATTGCTTTTTCATATCACACATATCAATTTTTTAATATTTATTAATATGAAAATAATAAAGATGATAGTATGATAAGTTATTGTGAAACTAAAAAAACAGCCACAATCTATAAACCAACATTTAAACAATTTAAGTGATAATAATTATTATTATTATTGTATTGTAAACAAAATCGATCGAGAATAAAATTAAAATGTCGTGGGTATACAATTTATAAATATATCATTACTATTATTAAGTAATTAATTTTATTTATTAATTAATCAACTTTTGATTGAACGATTAGTAAATAATTGTTGGCTTAAAGAGTACATAACAAATGAAAAATTATAATTTTTACGTTTATCATTCGATTTCTAAATATTTATAGAAATAATGGATAAGTTACTGGGCTTTGTCAAATATCCAAAATGTATCTGAAACAATTTTAATTGAGATGTGTAAAATATTTATAGTTTTTTTTAACCAAAAGTATTTCAGCAATTCATTAGCAGTGATTTTTAAATTAAATTTGAAACATCTGCTTCCATTAGCGTAATCTAATTTACTTGTTTTTTATTTTTTTTTCACTTAACAGGCTGTATAAATTATATTACCTCTTATCAAATTTGATTGTTAACATTAATTAAAATAATATTTATAATCTCTCCTAGATAATTTTCCGTCGTGGTACATAACTCGTTTCCTTGTCCCCCATTCATCTTACCCGATGTTTTATTATTAATACAAATTATGTATGTTTTAATTTTAATTAATAGGATAAAAATTAATTTAATAATATGTATTCAAGACGCTCAAGAGGTTCAAGTTTACGGGACGCTAATGCAATGGAACATTTCCAATGACACAAATGACGACGTTAGTGTTTTGGTCTATTAAACATATATTAGTTAACCAGTCTAATAAATAACATTAACGAAAGCATAAATCACACACATTTTAACAACACTCGGCACACGGTGTTTCGGTGCGTGCAAGACATTTTTAAATTATTGTGCATTTCCATATGCGCCATGCCGTGATGAGAACCACTTGTTTAAATACCTCTTAGAACATTTTCAAAAGTTCTCATCCGTAATTTTATTAATTTATTTAAATTTTTTTATGTAACTGACCACATCGGTTATTTCAAACGGAAAAACATAAAAAAAAAATTCTCTACGTACGTGAAAATATCATCTTATTTTTGAACAATAAATATAATTGATATGTATTAAAATTTCAATCGAGGCGTACATATTATTACAACAATATGATACACGCAGTTTATATTTATTATAGGTACTAATAATGTTAACGAAGAAAACTGTACAACAAACGAGTTGCAATTACGTAGTAGTGTAGTTTAATAATAGTTTTGAGCGTTTTATTTTACGCCTATTCGAATATTTGTATTATGATGTAAATATACGCAGTAGAAATCGTTTATAACAACGAAACAGCGAAGGCATAAGTAAAAACACGTTGTTTAATATGTTTAAAAAACGATATTTGTATTATTTAAACATAATATATTTCTATATTTCTCACTCGTTAATCGATCTTGTAATCTGTTTCTACTGCCTAGTTCAGGGGTCAGTAACCTTTTCGGAGGAAATTATTCTTTTAAAAAGGTTTCAATACCATGATTTCCAAAGACCGATTTTCAAAGACTGATTTCCATGTTCGTACTATTTTTGTACGATTCTTAAATCAACAACACCAAAGCAGTACTGTGATTCTTGCTTCTCCGCGCAAGTACTCATACTCGCAAATACTCACAGCATGAATATTATCGCAAACTAACGAATTTATCCGTAGAGTCAATTAATGAATGTACCTAATGCTACGTTTATTTTGATTAGATTGTATAATATAGCCTTATATGAAGACACATATAACTTCAAAAATATACTATGTGCTAAAAGTTAACGATTTAGTTGAATTATGAATTCCTAATGAACGATTTTTTTTTTTTTTTTATATAAACAAAGCTCTAAGTTTGTTAAAATAAAATGTTCAGGGAATTTTTACACTCATTAGTGCGGCGATACAATGATAATTCTTCTAATAACTTTTCTGTTACATTTTTTGTGATTCTAATTACATCCAAATGTTTTAATCCTCCAACCAACGCTTGTAAATTATTCTCAAAGTTAATTAATAATGACAATACCCTTTATTTGTAAATGTTTTTAAAAATGAGCAATAATTTTTAAAATAAATGCAAATTTATTATTTACTTTGACGCGTATTAATATTTTTTTGTTGTAGCCTCTGCTGTCAGCAGTTGAGCATGCTAAATTAATAAAATTGAATCTGCTGAACACGTATTAACACTTAACACTAATTTTTTGTACCTGGTATTTATTTATTTAATGTATGATCAACGGGTGATAGACCTTTACAAAATATTTAATATAACATATATGACAACAACCAAGATACATATAAAAGCTGTACTAATAATACAAAATTTAAATAATGTTGATTAAATATTGTTTTGTTAGATTAAATTAAATTAAAAAAAAATAAATTAAAAAATAAATTAAATTAAATTTGATTAAATTGTTTTAATCATAAAATTGATTAATAAATTATTAAAATGGTTTTATATCAAAGAGTACTGAATGCAAGAAGGTCCCTTAAAGCAGAGAATAATTATATTGTATTGTTACAGCTGCTGTATGCAAGCCTAATACTTCTTCGTTTTATAGCTAAATCGGTTCGTTTATCGTATATATATTATTCTACGATAAGGGAAGGTACAGCTCACATCAACGGTCAACTAAAACGCGTAGAACAACAGTTGAAAAATTATTATCTTAGCGCGAGTAACTTATAATCCGAGGTCCGTATCACCAGCACGGCCATTTTTGAATAATAATACCAAACCTTGACAGTATTTTGTACTTTTTTTTGTACAATTTTGTACAACCAAAATAAAATTTTGTACACCCACTCAAAACCGAGAAAACCCGATTTTTCTATAGCCGTGCTGGAAATGTGTATCCCCAGTACGGCCATTAACCAATTATTATAAAATTGAAATTCAACTTATACAGTATTATGTACTTTTTTTTGTGCAATTTTGTACATCCACCCAAACCCGATAATGATACAATCACCTATAAAATAATTTATTTAGTTAGAGAACATTTTTCTCATAAGGTCAGTGTTACGGATTACGGAGTACATGTTACCATTCTAATCTATTAAGTAGTAAGTACCCTTATACAATTTATATACCATATAAAATATTATATATATTATAATATTATATAATATTATACAACCATATACTTCAAACCTTCCTAAATATAAATATTCAAACCTAAATATAGGTTTGAAGTATATGGTTGTATAATATTGTATAATATTATAATATATATAATATTTTATATGGTATATAAATTGTATAAGGGTGCTTACTACTTAATAGATTAGAATGGTAAAATGTATTCCGTAGTCCGTAACACTGACCTTATGAGAAAAATGTTCTCTAACTAAATAAATTATTTTATAGGTGATTGTATCATTATCGGGTTTGGTTATATTAATATAATATACACCTAAATATAGGCATATCTACCGTTTTTTTTTAAAAAAATCATAAATAATTAAATAATTTTATCATCTACTTATTGTATTCATAATTTCAACATAGATTCATTAAAAAAAGTTTTAAATTAAAATTTCAATTTTTTATTAATATTATTAGGTACATCATTAATACAAGTATATGTCGTGTCAATAAAATATCATGCGAAAAAACTAAGACATGACTATGTTCGTGGTATGTACTTATACAAGGCAGGTATAGGTGGTATAGGTATACCACTGCTATCTTATAGACAAAAAAAGTTAACAATTATAAATTGTATAAGGATACTTA